TTCGGGGTTAATGACCCTTAATCCGGATTAAGCCTTAATCCGGGATAAATGACTCTTAATCCGTGATAAATGACTCTTAATCCGGATTAAACCTTAATCTGGGTTCAAAGATCCTTAATCCATATTAATCCTTAATAAGGGTTCAATGACCCTTAAGCCTTAATCCAAGGTCAATGATCCTTAATCCGGGATAAATGATTCTTAATCCGGGGTTACTGACCCTTAATCCATATTAAGCCTTAATCAGGGTTCAATGATCCTTAATCCGGATTTGGGGTCAATGATCCTTAATCCGGATTAAGCTTTATTAAGCTCCGGGATAAATGACTCTTAATCCGTGATAAATGTCTCTTAATCCGGATTAAACCTTAATCTGGATTCAATGACCCTTAATCCATATTAAGACTTAATCAGGGTTCAATGTCCCTTAATCCGGATTAAGCCTTAATTCGGGATAAATGACCCTTAATCCGGATTAAACCTTAATCTGGGGTCAATGACCCTTAGACCTAGCCCCTAGTGGAGGGTATCCAAAGTTCGGCTCGGCCGAACTTACCGCTTTTTCACTTGTTTTACACTTTTAACGTGGTTTGGCTATTCTCTACCATTTTTTTATGATTTCATTTAAAATTTTGTGTATGTAGAAATTTGGGCGTACGTCCATGGGCTAGAGTCAATTATCAATTTGGTAAATATTAATTTTTATAAAAAAAATCTGCCAATATTTTAGAAAAATTTGTGACCAGCTGAAAGTAATCAGCTTTAGCCACTTTAGAATTTTTTTTGTAGAAATATATTGTCAAATTAAATTAAATTTACGTTTGCAATTCAAGTTATTCCTTTATAAACCACTAAGGAAAGTAGTAAAGTAGGACGGGGCCGACTATATTATACCCTTCACCATAATGGTACATTAAACGAATGCATCCTAACAGAACATGAAATTGGATGAATTAAAATATGTGACCTTTATCTAAATGCGAAACGACTTAGATCAATCCGTAAACATGTCATTCGTTTGTTACAATGGGACAAAATTATGTAAATCGATTTAAAGCAAATACAAATAATATCAAAATGCTCAATTTTAATCAAAATACCATGTCAAATCGAAATATATATAGGGACTTTGGTGCACCATTTACCTAAAATCGGGCAAAAATATATATGGGAGCTATATCGAAATATGAACCTATTTTCAAGAAATTTTACACACATCATTCTAGACCAAATTCAGTACACTATGCCAAATATCGTGCAAATCGGAAGATATATAGAGACTTTGGTGTACCATTGGCATAAAGTCGGACGAAAATATATATATAATTCAGTACACTATGCCAAATGTTGTGCAAATCGAAAGATATATAGGGACTTTGGTGCATCATTTACCTTAAATCGGACGAAAATATATATTGGATCTATATCTAAATCTGAACCGATTTTCACGAAACTTAACACACACCATTCTATACCTAATACAGTACACTGTACCAAATTTCGTGCAAATCGAAAGATATATAGGGACTTTGGTGCACCATATATGGGAGCTATATCTAAATCTGAACCGATTTTTCCCAATTTCAATAGGGTTCGTCCTTGGGCCAAAGAAATGAGCTGTGCCAAATTTCATCCAATTTGAATCATAAATGCGACCTGTACTTTGTTTACAATATAACATGGACAGACAGACGGACGGACGGGCATGCATAAATCGACTCAGGCAGTGATTCTATGCATATTCTCAAAAGAAACCATGTGTCTATATCGTTTCCTTTTGCCTGTTACAAACGTATGAACAAAGACATAACACCCTGTACCACAGTGTTGTGAAGGGTATAAAAATAAACATATTCAACACTGGTCTGGCATGGATTTCGTCAAAGCCTAAAAGTATGCTTTAAAAAGTGCATGCAATTACTATTATTTTCTGGAGGCGGACGTTAACGTCTCAAGGCCACACACACCACCAGAAAACCTTTTTCTACCGCATAGAAACACGTTTGGACTTATATGGGAAATTACAAAAATCTTTTAAATTCCTTGAAGCTGAGGTTTGGAAGGTTATAACTCGCGAAATATGAACATATTGCATATAATTTAAATTCAATTCTATAAAATGAAGCGTTATTGTCAAAATCTTAAAATATTAGTAATACATAATAAGTTGCGTGGAAGCTATGATGGTGGTAATGTAAAAAAATGGATGAAAATGTGTTGAAGCCAACGAGTTTTTTTGTGTTCCTTCCTGATTTGTGGCTAAACTACACAACGCACGCACATGTGATCAGTGACTAAGTTGCAGAATACCCAATGGTCATTTTTATATGGTTCTAATATATGATTTTTTGATATAATCACTGCATCCACCCAAAATGGATGCTGACATTTTGAAGCCGGATTTTCCGTGTTTTTTGAATTTTTCTTATATGCACATCCAGATAATAGAATAAACTAATTATATGATTGTAGAACACGTGATTCTGCTTCGTTTAGTGTATATCTCATTAGATTCACATTCATGCATGAATGTGCTCACTGTAGCTTCCTTGCAATTAGGTTCCAAAGACGAAAATTTGGTGCGTAAATTTTTATAAAAAAACACATTTTTTGAGTCTAAAATTAAGAAAGTCCTTTCAAATTCCGTGGAACCCCTAAAAATGGCGTGATTTTAGTTTTTTTACGTGTGGGAAAAACTGCAAAAACTTATTTTGACAAATTCGCGTAAATAATCGCGGGTTTCTTCGAATTAATTTTACATGCATTTATGCTTGTATTGTCAAATTCGCGAATCGGTGTGGAAATAGGTAAAAATACATCGATACGCGAATAATTTGCGTATTTTATCCAAAATTGATTGTGGAGGCACATCCGCGGTTCTTAACCGATCCTTTTATTTTTATTTTCATAGGAGATTACTGAAATCGGATGCGCATAAAAATCGTATGCTCGTTGCGTTATTTTTAGCCATTTTTAGGGTTTTTGCATAGTAAAGTGCATCGAGTGGCACACTTTGACCGCTAAATTAAACATCGAAAAATTAATAACTATTGAAAGACATTGATTCGGTTTATACGAAAATCGCATGCGCATCAACTGATTTCAACTAATTCGCGAATTGCAAGCTTTTCAATATTGATCATTTTTATGTATAGTAAGTGCAATATATTTAGCCATTAATGACGTCAAAACTCTTATCAGATGAATCTACCAATATTTAACAATCAACTAAAAGAAGAAAGCGTCGTATATTTCAGAAGATTAAGGCAAAACCGTATCCTCTTAACCATACTAAAAAATCGAAAATTCAAAAAAAAAAATTGTTTTAATTCAAAAATTAATTTATTTTATTTTCCGATATCTTCATGTTTCTATTTGTTTTTCGCGACTATTAAACCGTATTGCAGTGTGATTTGACTAGTATGCAAAGAAAACAATGGTGTTTAAGCATTTGTGAAGAAATTCGCGAATTACAACGAATAGGAATCCATTTCATTTATATTTGAAATACAAGATTTAAAACCGCTATAACTTTTGTGCGCAGCATCCGAATTTGTGAACGCGAACAGATTTCGAATCAGCATATTTTTCTTAACCTATGTACCAAAAATCATAAATGTGCTCGCAAAAAATTTTTTCAAAATTTTTTTAATGGAATTTTAAAAAAAAATTTTAATAATACTGCTTTAAAATTTTAAAAGTTTTATACACGTAATACTTACGAAATGGAAAGGAAATATTACAGTAACATATATAACAATGCAAAAGCCCTTGAACAGACGTAGGCTTATCGGTGCACCATTTACATAAAATCGGACGGAAGTATATATCAGAGATATATCTACATGTACAGATTTCAACCAATTTTAACAGAAAATATTCTAGACTAAATTCCAACCCCGCTTCCAAATATCGTTAATATGGAACTATTTACATAAAATCGGAAGAAAATATAAACAGGAGATATCTAAATATCAACCGTTTTTACAAAATATAATATACATCAATCTAAACTCAATACAATAAGTTATGCAAAATTGCGTCTTAGTCGGATAAAAGAGTGCAAGTTTGGTGCACCATTTACATAAATAAAATCGGATGAAACTGTATATAAGAGCTATATATAAATCTGGTCCTATTCCAACAAAACTTCGGATACATCAATTAGGACCTGTGCAACATTTTGTCTCTATCAAATATTTGGAGTTTGGTGCACCATTAATCTGAACCGATTCCAATAAAACTCTACGGACATCAATCGGGATCTAATTCAGTACTTAATTTTATGCGTAACTTTTTTAACGTAATTTTGTCTCAATCGGACAAATATTGGGAGTTTGGTGACCATTCGAATATAATAGGAAGAAAATATATATGGAAGCTATATCTAAATCTGCACCGATTTCAAAATAACTTTGCATATATCAGTCCGGATCTAATTTAGTACGTTGTGCAAAATTTGGTCTTAATCTGACAAATATTGGGATGAAATGAGGTTGAACAAAATCATAACCCTAATGATCATACTTTAACCTGCTCACTTTAGGATTTTTTGTAATTCTAGGGACATTTTTGATTCCGCAGACATTTATCAACTTAAGAAAACGATTTCGGTTCCCCCCATTTGAATTTTGGAAGGGTAGTCACATTTTCCAACCAAATTAGGCAAATTACAATGAACGCCCCTTTAAATTTAATTTAAGGGTCCCGGCCGATTTTACATATTTGAATACCCATCTCTTGGTGGATGGTATAAAACGATCATACCGGCTATCAGAAGGTTCTTATGTTTTAAAATGAAGTATATATCTGATTCAAATAGACTAATCGCAAAAAAGGAAATAAACACATTAACACAATTTTATTGTTTATTTTATTTTATTACAAAAATTTTAATGTGGACTTATAGTAGTACATAATCAAAATACATACCAAATGTACTTATGTAGATATGATGAAGTTTACAAAAAAACAACCTTATATAAATGAAAAAGAAAATTACCAGTCACTAGGTTTCGCAGATACAACAACTAATTTAAATCTTAGGATCTTGAGGAGTCAATTTGCAAATTTTAACGGATTCTTCCCAGATACGAATACCCTTTTCAACATCCATGGCAGCAGGACTTAATGTAGCCTCCTTGCAGTCCATGAAATATTTGCCAGTAACATTGGCAACCTCATCGGATGTGGCCAAATAGATGGAGGTTTGCGCGCCACCTTTAGGGGTCTTGAAGAAACCCTTGGTGATGGCCTTCATGGGCAAATTCAAGGGGAATGGAACATTACGCCAGATACCGGAATCAATCATACCGGGATGTAAGAAGTTGACGGTGACACCGGTGCCGGTCAAACGTTTCGACAATTCGCGGGCAAAGAAAATGTTGGCGTACTTGGAGACATAGTACAAATAGGCAGCAGGGAAAGTGCCGATGGGGTTCAAGTTATTTTCATTTACCGAAGCCAAACGATACAATTCCGAGGCGACGATCACGATACGTGCTGGGGCACTCTTCTTGATCAAATCAATCAATAAATGTGTCAAAAGGAATGGACCAAAATGATTGGTGGCCATGGTCAATTCGATGCCATCGACACTGGTCTGTCCACGGAAAGCCAAAGCCATACCGGCATTGTGAATGAGCACGTCAATTTTGCTTTCAGTCTTTAGGATATCAGCGGCAAAGTCGCGAACCGATTGGAAACTGCCCAAATCCAGTTTTTTCACAATCAATTTATTGTTGGCTGTTTCCTTGGCAATTTCATCTGTAAAAAGGAAATTAAATAATTAAAATAGTCACAAATATAAATTTATTTTAATGGACATTGGGCAATGCCCACTCACCTCTGACAGCATTGGCTGTTTCAAGATTTCTGCATGCCATGATAATACGGGCACCACGCTTGGCCAAATCACGGGCGGTTTCTTTGCCAATACCACTGTTGGCACCGGTAATTATAACAGTTTTACCTTCCATTCTTGTCTAAGGGAATATAAACAAATAAAATTAGTTTATTTTTATTTAAGGAAAATACCATTTTTTGTTGATTTTAGGGAACAATAAAAATTAGAAAGGAAATTTGAAGAATTCTGTACAATTGGGATTAATGTGGGGAACATTTGGCCCTAGAAATAGAGGGAACCATACAGATTGGTAATAACATAATATATGTACAAATATCTAGCAGAACCAAATACCGTATATAATATCGGAGCAACATTGGATAACATAATCTGATAAGAGTCCAAATAAAAAAAATCTCCAGACAAGTACTTGCAAAACCATATTTTCATATATAAAAACATAATATTAAATTTGAATAACAATTCGAAACCTCTTTAAGTACGACCGGTCCGAATTTGTTATACCCTTCACCATGTGGTATATTCAAATTTTTCAAAAAAGTGGAAAAATTCATATGGTGATTATGCCATTGTAAGTTGTCTTTGAGAAGGTAGTTAATTTGGGAAAATAATATACCAAATTAAAAAAAAACGCACAGGTATATAAACGGGACTCTGAACTTCAACATACAGGAAAAATTAAGCAGGGTCTTTGTATGTATTTAAAAAAATGAACCCATATTAAAAAATATATCCAAAGAAGTTTGTTATTCAACAGGTATTCATAACATTTCTGCAAATGTGTGTTTTACCCTTCAAGAATTCGGAATGTTGATTAACAGCCTCTTCCGCGCAAAAATGCGACTAAAAAGTACCGAATATCGGTCTGGACCATCATGTGGAGGCTATGTCCGAACATGGAACGATATTGAATATTATCTGCAAAAATCACTCTCCAGGAAGCCGGGAATGCCACTTCGCTGCAAATATGCTGCTAAAACCTTAAAAGTATCGAAAATGGGTCGGGACCATTATGTGGAGGCTATGTCCGAACGTGAATCTATATTGAATATTATCTGCAAAAATATTTCTCCAGAAAACCGCAATGCCGAATAACAGCAACTTCGGTGCAAAAATGTGGCTGAAAACATAAAAGCACCAAAAATGGGACAGGACCTTTGTGAGTCTCTTTATTGCGGAGTTATGTAAAAACTTAGGCTATAAAAAATTGTCTGCAAAAATGTTGGAACGATATTGCATATTTTCTGAAAAAATTACTCTGCAGGAAACCGGGACAGCAACTTCGGTGCCAAAATGCGGCTAAAAATATGGAAAATGGTTCGGGACCATCATGTGGGGGCTATGTCCGAACGTGGATCTATTTTGAATATTATGTGCAAAAATCATTCTCCATGAAACCGAAAATGGATCGAGATCTTTGTAATTCTCTTTATCAAAACTGTCAAAACTTGGGACTATAAAGAATTTTTTTCTGCAAAAAGAATCTTGAATGTTAAATTACAGCTACTTCGGTGGAAAATGCGGCTAAAATCTTCAAACTGGGGGTTACATCAAAACGTGAACTTATACTGATCATTTTTGGGTAGAGTATCCCCTTAGAAACCAAAATATCAAATAAAAGCCAATTCGGTTCAGAAACGTGCTGAAAATACCAAATAATGATAGGTACCTCTACCCTGACATTTGTGCCAATATTGTCAGTTTTTCGTACAGAGATTTCCTATCCAATGATAATCCAAAATATCAAATAAGAACCACTTCGGTTCAAAATTGTGCCTACAATCCCCGAAATACTAAAAATTGGGAGATGCCGTTATATGGAGGCACTACTGATATGTGGGCCGGCATTGATAATTCTTTATGGGGGAAAATTTGACATCACACGAGATCCCAAAAAGTTACAGTCAATTCGGTTGAAAAGACCAAATTTTTTGAGGTAAATTTACATGGTAGCTATGATGAGATGAAAATTCCAAATTACAACCAATCCAGTTGAAAAATTCCGAATATTGCGTCCTCCATTGATGGTACCGTTATATGGCGGCTTTACCGAAACGTGGACCTATATATACCACTTGCAATACCAAACATCCTATGAGATGTAGCTATGTGTGAATCACATAAAATTTTATTCTGATCAAAAGTTTCGAGATTTTCTTGTTTGAAAATGGGACTAGGACTTAAAACCCACGGTCATCATACAATGATACATTTTCTACATAGTCCACGTAATAACATCGTAGGTAGTGAAATTATATCCTCCTTTGTTTAGTATCCTTTCAACGATCATCATTAAATCCACACCAAATTTATATCGGCCGAACTTACGACCTTTTTCCTTGTTTTTGTTGAAAATAACCCCTATACGACATTCATAAAAAATAAAATCTCATTAATTTAAATATAGTAACGTCATCTATGCGAAATATCGGAAAATTTGCAATAAACATGTACCTGATTGATTTATCTCGTCGGAATATTTCGAACAGTTTATAATACAACTTAGTATTGTAGGGTCGATTGACAATAATATATCTTTGCTTGTAATGTAAACACTTTAGTGTTTTACTCTTAGGTTATAATTAACAGTTAATTAATTTTAAATTTTATACAATTGATATTTAATTAAATGTTTAACCTCTGGCATAAAATAATAAACTTAACCACACGAAAGATATATAGGAAAACAAAACAAAAACAATAGATTTAAAAAAAGGATGGGAAAAATTATACAATTGCAGTATAAGTAAATACGTAGGTATGACACCTTTTAACAAAATTAAAAGAAAAAACAAATATTTTTTTTGGCAATATATTTAAAATTTAAATACAAAATGTACACAATTCTGGTATTTTATTTTTTACAAGTATAAATTTTTTTTTAAACAATCCCCACTGTATCTCCAATTACGATTACTTAGAATTTACAAATGGATTAAAAAATAACAAAAACAACTCTGAGGAAATTCCATAATACCACAAATTGTAGTTTATTATTATTTTTTGGAATTAATTAATAGTAGACGTTTAAAGGAAAAATTTTACAACCAATAACCAATGTGTGAGTAATCCAAGGGAGGAAATTTCCATATAGAAACAATAAAAAAATATTGAAAAATAAAAACAAAACAAAAAAGTCGTTACCTCGGTGAAACACCTTCCCGCTGTAATACGCAAATAAAAACGTAGACTAAACAAAGTGGCAATAAATGCTGAGATGACAGCTATTATGAAAATATCTCGTGCATAATTTTCAGATGGTGGTAACAAGGCCAAGAGACCCATCTATAAAATATATACACACACATATACATTGAAACATATAGTTATTACAGATACATGAGATGCACAAATGTATTATATAAAAAAATAAGATTAATTAATATTTATTAGGATCATTGATCGATGGCATTGTATTTGAAAAGTATTGCTGTTGTTATTGTCTTTTGGGTTCAATGTATTCAAATTTGATTTACAAATATGCCATTGACATAAATCTTATTAGCATAACATAGTTTTTTTACGAAAAAAGATGCAATAGGATTATTAGGTTGAGGTTTTTAATATTGAATTGCTTTTGTAGTTTATATAACCTACGGAACTACAGTAAATGTTAATCTAAAAATGTCAATAAATTGATAAATTCTTAATACCTTATTTTCTATCACATCATCTAGGTTGTTGCTAAGGTGATTTAATTTCTAAATATAAGACAAAATCTTGAAAAAATGTGGCAAAAATGTTGCCAGGAGAAAATTAATACCAAACTACAGACACTCAGGTCGGGAAATTGGAACCTAGAAAATTCTAAAACTAGATCGACTCAGCTTGTCGAGATATGACGATCGGTATACTTAATAGTGGGTCTAGGACCAATATTTCGCGGCGTTACAAACTCTTGGGTCTGCATAAAGCTATAATACACTGACAACTTAGTTGTGTAGGGTATAAATAGAAACATATTCAATATAGAACAGCAAATAGAAAACCAAAATATCATATTGGAGCTAACTCGGTGAAAAACATGTCGGAAATCCTAAAAATAACGAAAATTAGAGGGTTGCATTATATGAAAACCATACCTAATCATGAGCAGATATAGATACCTATTAGTAAGAGCGATTTGCCACTCATCGAAAACCCTTGAACCAATATTGATAATTTTTTGGTAGGGAGATTTTCTTTTCAATGAGAGACCAAAATAAAAAAATACAGTGAATTTGTTTGAAAAAGTCCACAAAATCCCGAAATAAGGAGGTACCATTATATGGAGTGCTACCCTAAAATAAATATTGATAACACTGTGCAACACTAAAACCATGATCCAATCGGGACCGCCAAAATCTGAAAGCTTATGATGGCAGCAGAAAACACCTAGCTATGTTTTGAATTATTAGCTAAGGTTTTTGTTGAAAATTATTGCTGACCTTTGTACTTTCTTTTTATACCCTTCACCACACTGTGGTACAGGGTATGACTTTGTGCATGTCTTTGTAACAGGCAAAAGGAAACTAGACAGACACAGGGTTCCTTTGGAGAATATGCATAAAATCACTTTCTGAGTCGATTTATTGATGTCCGTCCGTGCATCTGTACGTCTGTCTCTCCATGTTAAATTGCAAGCAAAGTACAGGTCGCATTTATGATCCAAATTGGATGAAATTAGGTCACTTATTTGGCCCAAGGACGAACCCTAATGAAATTGGGAAAATTCGGTTCAGATGTAGATATAGCTCCCATATATATTCGTCCGATTTCATGTTAATGGTGCACCAAAGTCCCTATATATCTTTCGCTTTCCACAAAATTTGGCATAGTGTACTGAATTAGGTCTAGAATAATGTGTGTTAAGTATCGTGGAAATCGGTTCAGATTTAGATATAGCTCCTATATATATTTTCGACCGATTTAATGTGTATGGTGTACCAAACTCCCTATATATCTTTCGATTTACAGGAAATTTGGCACAGCGTACTGAATTAAGTGCAGAATTATGTTTGTTAAGTTTCGTGAAGATCGGTTCAGATTTAGATATAGGTCCCATATACATTTTCATCCGATTTACTACAAATGGTGCACCAATGTCCCTATATATTTTTTGATTCCCACGAAATTTGGCAAAGCGTGCTTAGAATGGAATTAAGTGCAGAATAATGTTTGTTAAGTTTCGTGAAAATCGGTTCAAATTTAGATATAGCTCCCATTTATATGGTGTACCAAAGTACCTATATACATTTTGATTTCCACGAAATTTGGCATAGCGTACTGAATTACTTCTAGAATGATGTGTGTTAAGTTTCAGAAATCGGTTCAGATTTTCTTATAGCTCCCATATATATTTTCGTCTAATTTCATGTAAATGGGTTCAGATTTAGTACAAATTAATCTCTTGCAAGTGTCTTTGAAATGAGTTCAGATTTAGATATAGTTCCCACATATATATTTTAGGTAAATTTTTAGGAGTTTGGTGCACTCCTAATGTTTGCCCGATTGACACGAAATTTTTTGACAACGTATCAGATTGGGACTAGAACGACGTTATTGCGTTTTGTTGAAAGTGGTCCAGATGCAGACATATGGTCTGTTCTCCTACTACAAGATTCTACGACTTTCTACTACGATAACGAAATTTCCTTTATATTATTGAAGAAAATAGTAAAATGTAGTAGATTCTTGCAGTACGGGAACAGACCAATAGCTTCCATATATATATATTTCGAACGGGAGTCTGATTGGGAACAAATTTTGAAAAGTGCTGCATACCGAATAGGGTGTATCAAATTTGCTTTAAATCGATTAGTCTGCCCGAATGAAATGAAATTTTACATAGGATGCAGAAAATCATGTGTATGGATTGATGTTGGCCGGTTAACTTATAGATAAAGGTCACATCTTTAAGTTCGTTCATGTCAGGATACATATGTAGAATATACCCAAAGTGGTGAAGGGTACTCGTCGGCCCGGCTTGAGGTTTTTAAACCCGGCTTTAATTTGCCGATTTGGAGTAGATTTTCAATTAATACGTACGCTTATCACGTGAAATATCGATTTTAAGAAGAGTTGTTTGTTTTACTTTGACATTTCCAAAAATTACTATTATAGTTTATCCGCTGGATTTAAATAATTTTTCACTATTCGCCCTGGTTTTATGTTCATATTCGTAATATAATTTATAAACCCTTCACAAGTACACCGTTATATGTTAATTACCGATAAAATTATTGTTAACAGGTTTTGATTACTTAAGCATATTTATGGCAATATTACTTAATACATGCAATAAATAAACAACAACAAAAACAAAATGTTATATTGAAAACGAAATCGAAAACGATGAACCACAATAACAAATCGAGGTCACAAGTGATGAGAGAGGCTCTGCACAGTGTCAAGGAGAGAGGAAATGTTTTTTAATGATAACCCTTTCTAAGATGTTCGATGATTTAAAAAATAAATAAAAAAGTATACGAAATTTAAATATTTGCGTAAAAAATAAATTAATTTCCAGGCACCTATTTGTATCCCCTCAGCCTTTGGCGAATGAGGGTATATACCCTTCACTACGCAAAAAAGTCGATTTAAAAATGTCCTTCGATTTTATCCAAATTTAAAAATGATGGACCACACCTTTTGGTGCCAACCCCTTAGAGGGTAAAAATTTGAAAATATTTTAAAAATTATATGAAGCGAAAGGAATATCCATTTTCATCCTAAATTTGCTCATCGACCCATCGGCCTACCACCATTCTGGCACCTCGCCACAAAGGGCAAAATTTTAAAATAAATTGGTAAACCTAATATGAAGCGGAATATCCAAATTTATCCAAACTTTGAACAGCACAATATTTCTAAAGTCCTAAGGTGGGACTTCTGACACCTCCTACAAACAGATTCAATGTTTTGAAATTTAAGCCTGACTTTGCTCATAGAAAAAAAAATTAGCAGACCTAGATCAAGTCCGATGCTTCTTCTGGTATCTTTTACACACAGAGTAAATCCAATATCAATTAAATTGAGTGTCCGATTTGATCCAAACTTTACACATCGTAATATTTTTACCAGATCTATATAAAGTCCTAAGAAGGGACCAATCGACCCACTTCTTCTTGAATCTCCCTCACATAGAGTCCGAAGATGAGGTATATATGGAACTTCCCTATGCTATGCATTTTTTATTCGAAATTGGTAGTGTTTTTAAAAAAGGTATGTTCAAAATTAATTAACGATATATTTTGTTCGAACTTTGATGTTCAGAAATCCTATTTAGAAAACATACATTTTGTCAAATTCGAAAAATAAACAAAAATATCGAAATTTTATTCTTAAAATTTTTTTCTCATAAAAAAACTATTTCAAACCACTGTACTAGCCAAGAAAAAAAGGTAGCCAACCCGCATTGGTATCAAACCAACATGACCATCAAATCAATTATTACACACACACACAGCCCATTGGTATTTACGAAATTTTGGTGTTGGTATTTCAAAGCAAGCACACCAACCGTCCAATATTAAGACCCCACTTTCGCTTCGAAGTTGACACAAGCATAAACAACTAAACAAAAGTTTTGCCGAAAGGTTTGTTCGATGACAAAACAGACACTCCTACAGAAGATTCACATAATAATGGTCGGAAATATTACAAAAACAAAGCAAACTTTATCAAAGTTCAATGTCGACATGTGTAGACCAGACGAAAAAAACACTAGCACTAAGCATAAAAACAACACAACAAAACGAAGCATCAGTAATGAGAAACTTGAAGTTAATGACCGTAAGAAAAGTTAAAGAAGATGGAACGGAAGAAGAAAACTACCACGTCACACAGAAACCAAAAAAAACTATGAACTTAATTAGAGGCAATTTTTCCATCAAGTGTTGAACTCTACACAGTTTTCCATTATTATTTTCACTTTTCCATTAATTATACAAGTCATCGTTAAGTTCACCTTTCTTATTGTTTGTTTGGAATTTATACTTTAATTATTTTTTTCTCAAAAAAAAAAAAACTTACCTTTTTATGTTAATTATATATAATATATTTTTTTTTTTTTTAATATCGGCTTAGCTGTTTCCACTTTATTTCGAACAGCAAACTAAAAATCCACACAACCTTCGCCTTGAACGTTTTGTTTAAGACTGGTCTTTATAGCCATGAATTGAGCGGCTCTATAGTAAAACTCACGTTTAAACCATAGCTTTGTGTATGTATAGTTCGTTTTTTTTTTTTTTTTGTCTTTTCTTATAATAATATTGTTATGGTGTAGTTGGCCCACTTCATATTCGGTCTCTAAACCGCTAGTTGCAGTAGCAACAACAACAACAACAGGTTGCTTTATATGCTGAGATTGCATTTTCAACACAAACAAACTCATTTTTGTTTTGTTTGTCTCTGAGTAAATGTTTTGTTGTTAAATGAAGTTTTTGCCAATTTTTAGTTGGGAGAGAGGCAGTGAGAGTAATTTTTGATGCTGTGACTTTTCTTATGCCTCCCTCCCATCAAGATAGTTATAGCGAGAAATCAAGTTTGTTGCTTAAGTCTTTTGTTTAAACATTAACATAAAAAGAGAAGAGCGAAATATTGTTGTATAGGGGGATTTTTCTATGTCGCACGCTGACTATTAATTATCAGAGGCGCTTGGTTGTATTTTATGAAAGACGATCAAAATGTCATATCTATGTCAGAGTTTATAGGTGACTCTATAATATTATTGTTTTATTCACATGCAATTATCTACTGTAGGTTTTGTGAAATAATTAGGCAGAGAAAAGGCTACTACTTAAACATGTATGAGACAATAATAAGATAAGATTTGTTTTTAAGACATCTTCTACGTATCAGTGGAAATAATAAAATAATTGAATGTGATATTGCCCAGAATCGGGAGTGAAAGAGCAAATTATGAAAGGAATGCTTTATTATTAGGCCATGGTTATATTTCTAGACAAACGTACAATATAACTAAAACATAAGGGCCCTAAAAAACAACAAGATCCGTATCTATTGTATGTCCCTCAGAGTAATTTTCTGTCTGATATGCATTTTTATACCCTCAGCCTTAAGGGTACCACAAAAATGTGTATCATCGAATTATTGATTTAAGACACCAAGTACCATTTAAAGGCGACCAGATTTTGAAATTGAAAATTAGTAAAATTTGTTTACATATTTTACAGACCGGGGGCAGAACTAACAGCATGTGTTATTGTACAACAATCCGAATCGGATATAACAATTTAGAGGTAGAAAAAATATTAATGTCACACGTAAACTCAATTGAGAATACTTGGACTTCATTCACTGTTAAGTTACAAACATCGAATTCAACACCAAAATATCGAAAACAAATATTTTTTACTTACATTTGAAAGGGCAATTGTACCTATCATTCAGAAGCCGGACGGGCCGACTATATGATACCCTTCACCACTTTGGGCTTATTCAGCAGATGTATCCTAACAGACGTAACATTTTTGAAGGACCATAAACATAAATTTGGATGAACTAAAATATCTAAATATGAACCGACTTAGATCAATCCAATTAACATGAAGTCGGGCGTGAATATATATGAGCTATGTCTGCATTTCTACAAAACTCCAATACCTAATTATATGCCCAATTTTGTAGGTTGTGTAAAATTTCGATTCAATTTAACTAACATAAGGACTTTGGTGCACCATCGGACGAAAATATAAATTGAAACTATATCAAAATCTGAACCGATTTACACGAAACTTTTCACAGATTAGGTAATTTGGGCATTTACTTAAAATTGGATGAATATATATTAGAGCTTTTTCCAAACCTGAACTGATATCAACGAAACTTGGCACACGTTAGGCTATACTATCTTCGGTAAGTTTGCCTATCGGTCCAATTTTGGGTCCTTGGGGCAACATTTACTTAAAATCGGACGAAAATATGTATGGGAGCTATATCCAAATCTGAACCGATTTGAGCAAAACTTGACACACGTAATGTTATAGTAACGTCAGTACGTTGTTCAATATTTTGTGTCAATCGGCTTAACTTTGGGTCTTTGATGCACCATTTACTTATAATCAGATAAAATATAGGGTAAACGCACCTAATTCCGTCATGTACCAATAGTCGGCATATGTTTTATATAACTTCAAATAACTAAAAAATTCAATAACTAAATATGAAAAATACCGTGTGTTTGCGTTGATGCAAAATATGAAAATAAATGGAAATAAAAACACAATTATTTAAGAATTTTTTCCAAACGTAGATTTGAATTGTTTTTTTGAATTGTTCGTTGAACAATTAATATTACCTTTTCTACAGGGTGTAGGGGTTGATGCTTTTTGGTCGTGAACCAAAGAACGAGTGTAATGTAAAGCTAAGATGTCACAAAGCGGCGCTTTGACACAGTTACTCGTTAGATTTTGCTACTACCTTTTGTCTTTAGAACGAAATACTAAAAGACGTATACAAAGGTAGTGAACAAAATCTAACGATGGGGGTACAATTTACTTGAATTCAAACTTATATTTCAAATTAATCACCTTGAATAATCTTTAATAACACTGCATCATATCTCTGTATAACATTTAATCTAGCTAAGTTCTTATTCAGTCAAAATTTGGCATTTGGTCAATGACGTTGTCAACACAATTTTTTTCATTTCTTAAGAAAAAATTAGTGGGCATTTCGATTTCAAAAGACTTGTAACAATATTAAAATTATATATTTTTCACAAGGATCATATTCGTAATTGTAAAGAACATACAGGAGAATACATTAGAAATTAAAATCATAAAAAAAATATTTGTTTTCCTATAGTCGGCATATGGCATATAAGCACCTATTCGATAATTTTGGCTCAAAAATGTTAAATTGGAAAAATGAAAAATGATTATTTTTTAACAAAAAAATCAGTTTTGAGTGGTTTTACATAATGGAAGACGTGGTTTTAATCTTAAATTATTTTAACCTCTGAAATGCATTATTTAGCCATGCCGAGAATTGGATAAAAGGTTCCCGAAGCCGGCACCATGTTTTATAATTTAATATTTTAATAAATAAAATTATTTGAATGAAAATAGCAGAAAAATTAATTAAATAAATAATTTTTGTTTAACTATAATACGACATACCGACAATTGGAAAAAAATTGCCGACTATTGGCACAATGACACTATTTTAGCTAATTATCAATTTAATCTACTTTAATACATATTAATTAAACAATTGTTTATTGCATCGGGGAGTAAACAAAATCTGGAAACATATGAACATAAATACAATACAGTGAAAATAATGCTCTCGGGATGGTGCAATGTTTAAAATGCGAAAATTCTTAAAGTGCCGACTATTGGTGCACTTACCAATATGGGAGCTATATTTAAATCTGAACCGAGTTCAACACAACTTCGCATACGTCAATCTGTGCTTAACTCGGTACGCTGTGCTGTCACAATCAGAGACACTTTGAGTGTTTGGCACCATTTGCATCAAATCTGACGAAAATAGATATGGGAGCTATATCGAAATCTGAACCGATTTTCTCCAATTTCAGTAGGGTTCGTCCATAGGCAAAATGGGCTATGTAAAATTTCATCCAAATCGTAAATGCAACCTGTACTTTTTTTATAATTTTACATCAACAGACGGACGGACATGCCTACATTCTCAACTCAGACATTGATTCCATGCATATTCTCAAAATGAGCCATGGTTCTATTTCGTTTCCTTTTGCCCGTTACAAACATTTGCCAGTAAACTTGACATTCTGGGCTCGTGGTGATTTAATAACACGTATTCAAATTACAAAATAGCCAGGCGTAATCCATGTTTGTTTTTATATATATATATATATAAAACTATTTATTAGTGGAGAAAGTACGACATTGTCCACCAAAGTGGTAAGGTAGGGAAGACTATAATTTCGGATCTCGCCACTGAACCACATCAGTTCCATTAGTTTTTTTTGTTGAGATATTGTCCCCAGAATGAATAACAAGATAAAAATAGCATCCCTAATAACCTGCCAACACTACTGGAGAACATTCTGAATATAAGTCCATGTTTCGGCTATATTTTGAATGTCGAATTAAGTTCGAGCAAACTATCAATATGAGCATGGTTTAATATTAGGTATCAACTATAAATATTGACCTTCGTAATCCGACTATGATAATCACACTGCTGCGCAAGGTTCATGAGATTTTACTGCAGGAATCAGCCAATTTTTTTTTCTTCGAGAATTATTGTTCCGGTTTAAAATAACTCTTGTATATACGGAGAGCCGTGTAGAATATCATATAGTCGGCACCGACTTTGCTTCTTTCCTTATTCTTTGTTTCTTTTTTATATTACCAATTCTGTTATCTTCATCTGTCTTGGCAATCTTAGTAAAACGTACTTTACTATAGACTTCGAAGTATGAGATTCGTTTTCTTCTGTTGGTTTTGAATTTTTTCGTATTGAACAGACAACACTGGCCAGGTAGTTGTGTTGGTTTTTTTTTCACATTTTAAATACGTTTTATATGATTCATAAAATAAATTTTATAACATGTCCTTGTCCTCTCCCCTTGGAGAGGGCAAAGTTTTCTTTTGTTAAAGGAAATTTTAAAGGTTCTGTATAATATTCATCTTCTAAAATCGAGCTTTTGGTTGTTCATTGACTGGATCCAGTGGACGACGATTACAATATTTTTTATAACTACCCAAAGAAGTTCTAGCTGCACTGGGTTATATCTTTACTTTATCCACTTTAGTGGCATCACATTCCATTTCATGGAAGACATTTTCCTCTTCAATTTTCGTAAATCTACAAAGTTCCATATTTATATTCGGTACCCGAAAATGTAACCGAAAATCGTGGTGCTCTCAGTTGCACCGTTGAATTACCCGTATTTCTCGTAATATCAGACAGTAGAGTCAAATTTGCACTCACGCTCTTATTATTCAACATAACCTGATTATCACTCATGGTTTGTTACTTATATCAAATTTTTTTCAAAAAAACCACACATAGTCCCATCTAATCATTTCAAGATTTTAATACTAATTATAGTTGCATTCATTTTAATTTAAATATAGTTTTTATTTGTTATTTAAAATAAATAATAACATATTGATAAGTGGTATGCTAATAATAATAAAATAAATATTAATTTATATATACTTGATAAACAATAAAATTAAATGCCACATAATAATAAAATAAATATCAGAATAGTTGTATTTAATCTTTACGATATACTTCATTGGCAATTTCATTGGTGGAACTTTGTAATTGTTTGGTCAATGAATTGTACCATTCGTTGACATGCTGTGACATAATATCGACAATTTTCGAGACTTGAGTTTTAAATGTTTTCACCAATTTCTTTCCCATTGAATCGATTTCATTATCTGAATCGGATCTGGTACTGCGTACAGCTTCATCGACTTTATGTTCAAAGGCGCGCATGCGGCGTGGAAACAAACCGCTGGCCGAGGCAATGGGTTGATCATCCTTATCAACAATATCGTGGTGTGTGGAATCAGTAGGGGTTTCGGTATCTACAGAACGTTTCGAACGTAATGGTGATAGATCCCACCAGGGTAATTCATCAAATTTTGTTTTAGGTGTTGTTGCTTTATCGTCATCTTCCTCATCGTCATTTTTATTTTTATTTGTTTCTCCAAAAATATTACCCGACATGAAATTTGAGAAACGTGACTTTTCAGGTTTGCTTGATGTTTCTAAATGTTCCTCCTCTTCTTTGGAATCTGGCTCACTAGTATCCTCATCCACGTTATGGGCTTCTTTATTCTTTTCACTTATATTCAATTGAGCTTGAGCAAATTCATCGGCATTTTCCTTTAATGGGTCTTCGTGGAATTTTTTATCCGTGTTAAACATTGACGTGGCCAACTCCTCAAAATTCTTACCAAACACATTGACTTTATCCTTTCCAAAAGGTTTATTGTAATTTTCTGCAAAAAGCAATGAATTTAAAGTGGGTCCCATATTCATTTTACTCCCTTCCCGTGGCTGGTTAGGATTGAGGGCTTCATAGAACTCCGTGGGCAATAGGCGCAAGGGTTTCATTTCACTAACAACATCCTGATTACTTCTGAACTTATCCAATTTTTTATTTTGTTGGCCCGCTTCGATTTGTAACTCCTCATCCAGCAACTCTTCTCCATTGATATTTGCAATGTTCTGTAGAAATACATCACCCTCGGGTATTTTAATGTAATCCGGTTCCGATTGGACGCCAACATTTTTAAAGAATTTCTCTTCGTCAAATTCCAAGTCGTCGAAGGTTCTTTTATTCAATTTCTTTTCGGGTTTCTTAATTTCGGTTATCTTTTTCACAAAGGCTGTCTTTTTGCCATCGCGTGTCATGAAAAAGGGCCCGGTGTAGCTATCCGAATTTCTAGCCGATCGATGTAACAGAGGCATATCAATATTTAATGGTTCCTGAAATAACTTCTGTAACCAGTCCAGGGCTGCCTTTCTCTTGGAGGGAGTGAAGGCATCTCTTTTCAAGGGAAATCTTAAAGGTTCCGGAAGTTTGATACTATCGGTTAACGTCTTTATGCCCTCAGTGCCAGCTGTAATGGCATCTTCTAAAATAAACCTTTTTTGACGTTCATTGACTCCACCATCCAATGAGCGTCGATTGCGATATTTTTTATTGCGACTCATTGGAGTTCTGGCAGCTTCCTTAATCAGCTCCTTTAGTAAACGATCTGTTGAGGAATATCTTTTGACTTTCTCCACTTCAACTTCTTCTTCTTCACTTCCCATTTCTTGGGACACATTTTCCTCCTCCACTTCTGTGAACACACAATGTTCCATATTGACATTTGGCAGAACCCAGAAAGTCACTGATGACCCTGGTGTTCTCAGTTGTACCGTTGAGTGGCCCGATTTTCTCTTAATCTCAGGCAATAGAGTTGAATTTACGCTCACTCTCTTATTATTCAACATAACCTGATCATCATTCATGGTCAAGGCATATTTCCACAACTCCGTATCGCGTAGTTTGGTGGTAGAACGCACGGAAATTGTCAAAGGCATTTCTTGTTTATTAATGACCATAAAAGCCAAACCACCGGATACACTATTGGCACAATGGGTATATAGCTTATTGTTCCGTCCAAACAACCCAGTCAGTGGTTTGGCATCAAACACCCTCGAACCCATAATTTTCTTAAACAGTGCCGTTACAAAGAAACTATATTTTGGGTTTTCTAATTCCGATAGTGATAAGTGTTTGAAAATGGTGTTGAAACCACTATTGGCGGCATCACCCATCGTCTGAGCCCAATCTAAACCTTCGTGTAATTCTTCGTCCATCATTGACATCATCAAGGAGTTTTGAGTTTGTGGCAGTGTCAACCAAACTGGTACCTTTTCTTTAAATAGTACCTTCAGAGCGGGATCTTGGTCTTTGAGAGCTGCACTTAGGCTATTGCCAATGAATGTATCGGGAGATCTGTTCAAAGGAGAAGAGAAAAATACGATTTTTATGCTGTCAGTACAGAAAATAATATTTATAAGGATGTTATATCTAAAAATGGATCGATATTATTATTTTTTGTAAAAAGATTTGCCACCCAGGAAAACCAAAAAAAAGTAAAATTAGAACCAATTATATTTGAAATCTTAAAATACCTTAAATAAATCTAACCTTTTGTTAGATTTCTCAGTTAAATATTCTGGGGCTTATCGTGATTTTAACAGGCGTACAGACAGAGGGCTGAACAGAACAGACCTTGCAACCGAAACTGAACACAATAATAACAAAAAATATGAAATTCGAACCAATTATTTTTGAAATCCTGAAAATACCTTACATTAGGATGGTACCTTTATATAGGAGCTTTGACTTAGCGCGGTATTGGTAAAATTTGCCTGATTTCAAAGCTCTATATTTAAGAATTAGTCTTCTTCCCATCGCATATAGAGTGCTATTTAACATTCTGTGTGAATGACTGAAACCAATGGCCAATGACATTATTGGACCATACCAATGCGGCTTCAGACCTGGCAAATCCACCATAGACCAGGTTTTCACTCTACGCCAAAGGTCATACCAGAGGCAAAAGTAAACAGAAATGACAATCTGTACACAAAACCATACACGTTACTCGCCAACGCCGATGACAGCGACATAATGGATCGAACATTACAAGCGGTAACGGCCACCATTGAACAAATTGAGAAGGAGTCTGCCAATGTGGGTCTGATAGTAAATGCCGTAAAGGTCAAGTAGACTCGTACCAACTGTGAACTTCGGAGGAGAATAGTATCAGGCAATAGATGCCACCAGACTAAAATCACACACACAGAAGAATGGGTGCTTGCGTAAGCAGCTTAGGCAGCTCTTGCAGTGTTTGGGAGAAAAAATCTCCGAAAGATCTATGGACCGATCTATGTCGACGGTGAATATCGACGTCGAATGAACCATGAACCACCAGCTATTCTCGGACATCGGCATTGTTAGACGTATTGAGCTGCAGCAGCTACAGAGGCTGGGATATGTTGTACAAATGGATGAGGATGCCCCAGCTCAAAAGGGAGCATACTGATGGTTCACGCAGAAGGAGAAGGCCTCGAATTATTAAAGATCTTCAAAGAATGGTCTTTCAAATTGGAAAAACTGAGCACAAGATCGACTCGCCTTTTTTAAATTAGGCTTATATTTAATATTTTAATATTTTGAGCTCTATCGTGATTTAAACAGGCGTCAACCACGTCAAACTGTTCGAGGACATAGAGAAAAATCATACCCGTCCGTCGACATAACCAAATATTGTTGATTAAATACCTGTTTGGTTGATATCATCGGGAAGGCCCCTGTCATAGCCCCTTGGACAGGTCTTCCCGCCCCAGCCACATCAGTGGAGAACTCCATAGTGTAGAGAGAGTTCCAAATATACAAGCCTATCAAGCAGGTCTGAATATCAGACAAAAGATATAATCGAGAACCATCCATTGCAGAAAGGGAGAAACAGCTGCCTCCACAGACACAAGTAGTCTTAGCACAGTCAAGAACTCCGCAATTCCTTATGGACACAAATTGATTTGGTACCTAACACATGCACAGCATGTGGACTAGAACCACACGATACGTTGCCCTATTCGAATTTCCCATCTAAGCCTACTCACGAGTCACCGATTTCCCTATTGACGCTGCCCATACAGGTTGCAATCTTCCTTGATTTGGATACACAATTGCAACAATTTCAGTTCCTACAACAACAACGAAAGAGTTCCATCAGTACATGTCGCCACTAAATCAACGGCCACATTATTTACCACATAGCATATTACAAAAGCAGTCATCCGAACGGAGGTCCAAAGGTACAAATGAGAGCCTTTAGATCAAAATGTCTATCAAGCAGAATTGTGTCGTATTCACACTGATGCAGTGGAGGAAGCAATTCGAGAATACAAGGTGAATACGAAAACTCCAAACGGATAGCAGTAGGAGAGCAGCGACGAACCAGAGTGGTTGTGCCTGAATTCAGTTTTGGGATTTGGATTTGCTGCCTCAATTTGTATTGGGCACGAATTGATGGTACGGTGGACAACATTTGCTCGGCATTTGGCAACGATCCAAATGACATGCTACACCTCTTCAACTGCACAGCTGAAAACACTTTCCTAACACCATTCTCACTGTGGACCGGAACCGGTCGCAGCTTTTTTGAAATGGAGCAAAAAACAGATTAATAGAAAAATTAACCGCAGTCTAAACTGCAACAACAACAACTAGCATGCGGATATACAATTTTCTTCTGATCAAGAATATAAATACTTTAAGTGGCATCCGACGAATATATCGAGGTACTTGCAAACGAAGTGACAAATGCAACCTTCCTTCCACCTCATGATGGACATAACATACAATTCTTCTTCTATCAAAAATTCGGTACCTATTAAAGTCATCCATACAATATTGTATTTGGTTTTGTACTTACTCAACCCATCCGAAAGCTGTATTCAAATCTCGTGACATTTCAATATAACGACGTGTTTCATCCGGACTACTGCCCGATGAAATGTCAGCACCCATAATTTGCCAATTGTTATCGGCATCTCTAAAAGAATCCACCATTAAATTGAATGTTTTCAGTTCGTTGACATAATCCGTGGCGGCAGAGGTGCCAAAATCTAAAAAGAAACACACACACATAGATAAAAATAACAGATAAAAAATGACCTTTAAATTATATCCTTACCTGTTCCCAATTGCCAAATACACTCATTAATACCAACGGCTTGAGAATTATTTAAAATTTTCAAGGTATGCATGGGATCCCAATCGTTCGGTGTATATGGAACTGGTATTACCATTGTCCAGTCCAAGGCTCTACACAAAAAAGAAAATCAAATAAAAATTCAATATTTTTATTTATTTGAATGTTGTCTGTAAGAGCGATGATCATTTGAATGAGTTTTGATTTAGAGAAGCCAGACTTTCCTTTTCATTGCAAAACTTCGATTCGAATGAGAAAAAATGACTTAGAAATGTAATATTTTATTTACACACCATCCTTGTAATGGTATCCTTACCTTGTCCATTTATTGAAACCCTTCCACACAATCTTTGTGGGATTGCGTAGCTTTGTATTCCTTTTGGAGGCAAAATAATAATCACCCACAAACTTTAGATGCGAGTGACTTAACATTGAGGCCATGCGGGTAATAGATTTCCTATAAGAAGATTTATAAATTAAGATTTATAAATAAATTATTATTATTACTTATTAATTAACCCTTCTCCTTCCACTTACCTATGCGAACCATCCAAGGCTTCATACAAATCCTCCGGTTTCATGGTAAAACTTACAAATTTATCACTTACATCATTTACCGGCCGATTAACATTTAACTGTACCATAATATCGGCATAAGCAACTGTCGCACACAGTGCTACAAATATATACATCACAATTCTTTTCCAAGACATTTTCTAAAATTCTGGAAAACTTGATCTTGAAAATTATTAACAACTTAACTCTTCGACTCGTTGTAACCAACTACTGCCCAGAAGCTAATAGTTGGTGATCTTTAAACACTTTCTGTTGAATAATGTGTAAATTTAATTTTTTTAGTTTATATATAACCGCATCGTTACTTTAAGAAAAATTCTTTGTCAGCAAATTTCAGCAAAGTTCATTGAAATTAACAACGGTCATGATGTTCTACAAGTTCATTTGCATTCGTGTGTTTCTTTGAACGCATTTTCTTTAGATCTTTGCGTACTCGAGAAGTACATTTTTAGTAAATCAGTAATACTAGCTCATAGTTCTTTTAATTACAAAAAAATTATAATCGTGAGAGATCACAGAGACCCACGCTCCGCAATATTAACAAATATTAGGTTAAGCAAGTAAAAATACCAACATAACCTTAATTTATATATTTAGAATATAAAAGAAGAGTTGTTGAACTACGCAATTGTCAAAACATGGACCTATATCAAATATTTTCTACAAAGAAAAACATGGACCCATAACGAAAATATATATTTTGACCATTCAAACTCCACAAAATACCAATAAAATGGGGGATAGCGTTATATGGCATCAACCCCCAAAAAGGGGACCAATATTGACACAATATTAAATTACAGTCAAATCGTTTGAAAACGTGGAAAAAAATTCCAAAATACCGAATATTAGAAGTACTTTTCCATGGGGTTTCACAAAAGCTTAGACCGATATATCCCACTTTTAATACCAACAAGTGAAAAAGCGTTAAGTTCGGCCGGGCCGAACTTTGGATGCCCTCCACCATAGTTATACTGTCAGATACATTTAATGAAAATATAGGGAACATACCAAAAAGTGGGTATATACCGATAATTCTACAAACCGATTTATGTAAACCATTATGTACACCAAATACAAACTTCAGCAATTTTTAATGGGGATTTTTCCCAAAATCTGCAAGATCCAAAAAGTGGACTGATACTGATAACGCATGGTAAAGTATAAAATCCTAAAACTACTGTAATTTAGATTACAAAGTTATATGAGGCTATGCCTAAAGGGGGACTAATATTGATTACATAGTGTAGGAAAATAGTGAATATTTGGGCATATCATTATATGAGGGCTATGCCTAATTAATGACCGGTATATGCCAATATTGAACCCAATATTTTAATTGTTTATCTCAATTTTTTCCTTCAGGAGGTATCACTATATTGAGGAGATGCCTAAATGTCTGCCGATATATTTCATTATCGTCATGTTTGGGGTTTCTTTTATCACAATACCTTTAGAAGGCGGAATGCTTGCAACAGATGGCTAAATAGTCTTTGTAGGGTAAAAATTGACTATTCCCCGTAACGACTAACCAACCGCAACACACGGAACAAATCATTTAACTATTTTAATATAAAAAGGGGGGTTATATGGGGACTACCCATAAAAAGGGGGTGAATATTAATAATTTTGGTGGGGAGATTTGTTACCATATACGACTACAAAATAACAAATTTCAGCGAATTCGGTTAAAAAACGCGTTCAAGAACCTCAAAATATCGAAAATTGCAGTAACCCTCCGAAAAAAAAAATTTTCTGCTACCCAATAATAACAGAAATTACTAAATTACAAATTGGAGAAAAAATAAGGTACCCTTATATGGGGGCTACCAGAAAAAGTGGACCTATATTTATAATTTTTAGTGGGGAAATTTGGTACCCAATAAGAACCTAATGTACCAAATTTCAGCGAATTCGGTTGAAAAACGCGCTCAAGAACCCTAAAATACCGAAAATTGGGGGTACCCTTATTTAGGGGCTACCCGAAAAAATTGACCTATATTTATAATTTTTAGTATAGAGATTTGCTACCCAATAAGAACTCAATGTACCGAATTTCAGTGATTTCGATTGAAAACCGCGCTCAAGAACCCTAAAGTACCGCAAAATTGGGGTACCCTTATATTGGGGCTATCCGAAAATATGGACCCATATTTATAATTTTTAGTGGGAAAATTTGGTACCCAATAAGAACCCAATGTACCGAATTTCAGCGAATTCGGTTGAAAAACGCGCTCAAGAACCTCAAAATACCGAAAATTGGGGGGTACCCTTATATGGGAGCTATGCCTAAACGTGGACCGATAAAGCCTTCGAACTTGACCTGCCTGCAAACAAAGGACGACTCTATGCAAAATTTTGACGATCTATCTCAATTCGTTTAGACGCTAGAGTGATTACAACAGACAGACGGACATGACTATATCGTCATAGAATTTTACGCTGATCAAGAATATATATACTTTATAGGGTCGGAAATGATTATTTCGATGTGTTACAAACGGAAAAACAAAATTTACTCCATACTATGGTGGAGGGTATAAAAATCCTAGGAGAGGTACACGTATTCTTACTTACTTAGCTGGCTTGTGACAGCACATTTGTTCCATAAGCCGAGCTTAAAAAAGAAAACATTTAGCTTCGCTTTTATATGCCTTCCATGCCGGGGCATCCCCATCCATTCTCACAACATGACCTAGCCAACATAGTCGTTGCAGCTCGTTACGTCTGTCTATCATCGTCGTCATGGTTCATTCGACGATGATATTCAGATCGGCCCATAGAGCTTTCGGAGAATTTTTCTCTCTAAAACCCCAAGAGCTGTCTCATCTGCTTGCATAAGTACCCATGCTTCAGATCCATATAACAGCACGGGTAGTATCAGCGTCTTGTAAAGTGAGAGTTTGGTCTGGCGGGAGGTGGCCTTGTTTCTAAACTGCTTACTTAGACCATAGTAGCATCTGTTGGCCAATACTCTCCTTCTCTGAATTTCAAAACTGAAGTCATTAGTACCTCGAAGCTGAAGTTTTCAAGTTCCACAGTTAGTCCGAGTCTACTGGACGTCTTGCACGTTGATACCATCGGCTTGACCTTTTCGCCATTTACTGCCAGTCCCACTTTGGCCGACACCTTCTCAATTCGTTGAAAGGTGGCTATTACCTCTCACAATTATGTCGATGTTGTCGGCGTAGGCGAGTAACATGTGCTGTTTGGTGTACAGAGTGCCATTTTTGTTCACATTTCCATCTCGTATGACCTTTTCCAGCGGGATGTTAAAAAGGTCACACAATAAACTGTAGCCTTGTCTGAATCCTCGTTCGGTATTGAAGGACTCCGAGAGATCCTTCCGACTTTAACTGCTGAACTTGTGCCACTTAAAGTTATCTTGCATAGCGGTATTAATTTTGCAGGAATGCTACATCTGAACGGATAGGCATGTAGAATGTGGCTTTATATTCGACGAATAGGTGAATGTGTCAATGTGTTTTTATCGGGTCATTTTAGGATTTGGCACAGAGTGAAAATCTGGTCAATGGTGGATTTGCCAGGTCTGAAGCCGCATTGGTATGGTCCATAATGTCATTGACCGTTGGCTTCAGTCATTCAAACAGCACACTGAATAGCACTTTATATCCGATGGGAAGGCGACTTATTCCTCTATAGTTGGCACATATCGTCGTGTCTCTTTTTTGTGCACGGGACACAGAATGCTGAGGTTCCAATCATTGGGCATGCTTTCCTCTAGCCAAATTGTACTAATCAGCTGGTGCATACTCCTTACCAGCATCTGACCACCAGTCTTAAATAGTTCGGCTTGTAAACCATCGACACCTGCTGCTTCATTATTCTTTAACCTATTGATTGCTATTCTGACCTCATCTTTGCTAGGTGGTATACACTCTATACCGTCATCTATTATTGGTTCTGGCCGCTACTATCTGATACCAGAATTTTTTTCAAATTTTTTGTAGGGAGTGGCAATTCTTTGCCATTGTACTTCTATACCATTATCGGGACAAAAAGTGCTTTCGTCAAGCAGGTGGGTAAGTTGCGCTACCTATTGTGTTTGCAGCTTTTCGACGTCGAGTTTCTGTGTTGTGTTATATCGCACCTTTTTTGCTACATTCAGACGAGTGCGAACCTTGGCTGCTACAAGGTAGTGGACCCATATCGTTGCTTGATCACGAGGAATCCAGGTGAACTTGTGTATATGGTTTTTGCTGCCGCGAAGTCAATCAGCCTCATCCCGTTGCCGGATGTTTCTTCATGAAGGCTGAATTTTCCGACAGTGATGCCAAAAATATTTTCTCTTCCGATTTTTGCATTAAAATCTCCTAGCAGAATTTTACTGGGCATAGCCAGGGCAGCGGTCATATGCTGTTTCTAGGCGCTAGTAAAAAGTCATTGGTAGGCTTATCTATCTATCATCCCCTACGCCACCTATATTTATAATTTTCAGATCTATATTTATAATTTTTAGTGGTGAGATTTGGTACCCAATAAACGTGGACCAATATAGCCCATCTTCTATTGTGACGTGCCTGCAGACAAAATACGACTTTTTGAAAATTAGAATTATAAGTATCCTAAAAGTACAAAAATGAAAATTACCGTCGGAGTGTATGATTGGGATATGTACGTAGTTTTGAAAAAATTGGTACAATTTGGATTTTGGTTAACCGAAAGAGCAGGAATAATAAAAATTGGAGGGTAGGATTGGGGTATGGATGAAGTTTTGGAATTTCATACTTATGGGTACTAAATTTTATACAATTTGAATTTTGGATGAATCGTTAGAACTGAAATCCTGAAATTTGGAGTTAGGATCATTGTTGGAGTGTAGAATTGGTGTATGTTGGATGTTTTGTAAATGCAAGTTGGGAAGTGGTGTTGATGTATGCAAATGGCTTTAGAAATTCGTACTTATGGGTAGAAAAGTGTTAAATGATTTAATATGGTACAATTTGGATTTGTGTGAACGGATAGGGCTCAGGTCCTACAATTTAAATTAAAATTACTGTTGGAGTGTAAGATAGAAGAAGTTTTTAAAATTGTACTTAGGGGTACGAAAAGTACTAAAGGTACTAAATATGGTAGAAGTTGAATTTGTGTGAACAGGCAGGGCGGGAGTCCTAAAATTTGGAATTAATATTACTTTTGGAGTGTAGGATTGAGACATGGAGATAGTTTTGAAAATTCGTAATTATCTGTACTTAATGGTACTAAATTTAGTACAATTTAGATTTGGGTGAACGGATAGAGATGGAAAACTTATATTTAGAAATAAAATTACTGTTATAGTACAGGATTGAGGTAGTGTTGGAAATTCGAACTTATAATATCAAAAGTACTGAATGGTACTAAATATGGTACAATTAGAATCTATGTGAACAAATAGGGCTGAGATCCTGAAATTTATGATTAAAATTACCGTCAGAGTGTCGAATCGGGGAAGTTTTGGAAAATCGTACATACATATACGAAAATTAATAAATTATACTAAATTTAGTACAATTTGGACTTTAGTGATCTAGAATCCTGAAAATTTGCAACCAAAATTGGTACCAAATCTGCTACAATTTGGATTTTCGTGAACAGTAGAAATTCGAATTTATGTGTACCAATAGTACTAAATGCACTAAATTTGGATTTGGGTAGTTGAGAGAGCTGGACAAATTTGGAATGTGGGTCACAAACGGAGAATTAAAAAGAATACCATAGGGTATTTGGTACTAAATTTTGTGAAAGTAGAAGTACGATTGATATATGGACATAGTTTGAAAATGTTTGCTTATGTGTGTTCCAACAGATAAGCAAACATTTTCAAACTGTGTTCCAACACATAAGCAAACATTTTCAAACTATCTCCATATATCAATCGTATTTCTAATTTCACAAAATTTAGTACCAAATACCCTTTGGTATTCTTTTTAATTCTCCGTCTGTGACCCACATTCTGAATGAAATTAAATGTAGAACCTGCAGGTGTTTCCTAACAGCCCTACCTAAATTTCGACTAGCTCGTTCGACGTTATTCACAACAAAGGTAAAACACATGTATTTATATAAATGTTATCTTTGTTTCACAATAGCATATACAGTGAGTGTAATAAGTATTTTGCCTCAATACAAATTTGACAAAATTCCAATATATACGCCTAAAGCCAGCATACTAAAGATGTAAAATGAATTATGTATGATGGGATATGTTTGTGGACATATTTAGATCTTATTTCTGCAAGAATCACTGCGAAAGACCTGTTGGTCTAGAAGATATCGGCCAAAATCTATACCAACCCAAAAATGATTATCACAAAAAAGTATTTTGCTTTTTATTATTATTTTTGAAAAAATCATTATAGAATATACGCTTTGTCTTTTTATAGTTACCATTGCGGGTAACCACATAATAAAAGCGATTTGGCGATGATTCCAACAAACCACGGCATTTTTTCGCGAATATTTTAACACATTTACGTTCAATACATTCTCCAGCAATATTTCATTTAATATTTGGTAATTTATCGTCCTAATCTCAAAGTGAGAGTATTAAATATGGTCGTCGCGGCTTCAAAACATCCCAAATAAGTTTAGAATAATAAAAAGGAGGCTTTGCAAAATATATCGCGAGGACAGGACCTTAAAAACTATTAAAACCAAAATCCGACAAACAAATTATTTAAAAAAATATCGCGAAACGCAATTTTTTTGACTTTGAAAACTTTATGGTCCATTAATATTGATCTAGGAACCAATATATGCGATGAAAATAGCAATGAGGAGGTCAGATTCAAAGATATGAACGGTTTTGTGGCAATATAAATACATCTTATTTCGAAAATAAATAGATCGACCAGTTTATTCACTGCTGCATTTTATTCGCAACTGATGGTGTTAATCGGAGATAAAATACAGAATGCGTATTCGCCACCAGCAACCACAGTTTTTCAAAAGACAAAAGTATTTGACGAATAATGATGTTTTCTCCCAACTTCATGTATTGTTTTTTATTACTATTGCTTTTGAACTGTTCATATCTTTGGATCTGACCCCATTATTTCGAAGTCAGAAAAATTGGGTTTCGCGAATTTTTTTAAATAATTTGTTTGTCGGATTTTGGTTTTAGTAGTTTTTAAGGTCCTGTCCTCGCGATATATTTTGCAAAACCTCCTTTTTATTATTCTAAACTTATTTGAGATGTTTTGAAGCCGCGACGACTATAGTTAATACTCTCATTTTGAGATTAGGACGAGAAATTGCCAAATATTAAATGAAATATTCCTGGAGAATGTATTGAACGTAAATGTGAGAAAATATTCGCGAAAAAATGCCGTGGTTTATTGGAATCATCGCCAAATCGCTTTTATTATGTGGTTACCCGCAATGGTAACTATAAATAGACAAAGCGTATATTCTATAATGATTTTTTCAAAAATAATAATAAAAAGCAAAATACTTTTTTGTGATAATCATTTTTGGGTTGGTATAGAATATCTTCTACCAACAGGTCTTTCGCAGTGATTCTTGCAGAAATAAGATCTAAATATGTCTACAAACATATCCCATCAGACATAATTCATTTTACATCTTTAGTATGCTGGCTTTAGGCGTATATATTAGAAATATGTCAAATTTGTATTGAGGCAAAATACTTTTTACACTCACTGTATATCATATCAGAGTCTTTCGCATTTAAATTTCATAAAATGGCCTTCGGGACTTTCAAGCATAGAAGCCTTTTTTCGCACATTATTAAATATACCCAATTTATGTTGTCAATTCATAAAACTATTTTTCTTTTTTTTAATTTCTTTATTTTATTGTTTATTTATTTTCATGTCTCTATTTATTTTTTGTTTGTTTTTAAATTAATGTGTCTCACAAATCTTTTTCAAAGATATTGTACTTAATAATCAAAAATCAAAAAAGTCTGTATATATAATGAAATAACTTAAAACAATCCTTCTTTTTTGCATTTACTCATACATTCATTTAATAGTAATAATAATAGCTGTGTTAATTTGATTTGTGATCGAGTGAATGAAAATACAACTTTGATAGATGTTCCGACGCCTTCAACTTGTAAACATTGTTTTTTTGTTTCATTTGAAATTGCTTGAAATTGAATTTAGTTAATTTTAAACGATAATATAGAATTTAAATTAAAACAAAATTTACAAATACAATAGACCACTGGCGGCAGCATGAGCCATCAGAGTATTGGCAGCTTGTTGGGTTTCCAGTAGCAAACGAGTTTCCTTTAGCCAATCGCTGGCAATTTTGCGTGGAGCGCCTTGCAAAAGGTTCATGTATTTCAAGGCCATCATTAAATCGCCACGATCAACGAAATACCTGTTAAGATAAAAATATATATTATATTGAAGATTTATTTTAACGGAAAAATTCTGCAAAAATTTGAGTTCTGCAAAAGTTCGAATGAGTTATGACCAAACTCTATATGTGTAAGTTTTTACATTACCTAGCTCTATTCAAAATGTCATAGGTGTCCAATTTGCTATAGTCGAATTTCTTGTTTTGTAGTTCATCTTGAGAAATGGGATCATCGGGAGTCAAAATGAATAGGGATTGCAGATAGGACAACATATATTTGGGTAGGCTAGCTCCTTCCTCAGGAACCAAGGCTAATTTACGTGCTACACGTTCTACGTTCAAGAAACGTTCACGCAAAGCATCTTCGGGGAATACACCGCGCTCTTGGGCTTCTTTGGGTAGATTTTGTATGACAACAGCAACCAATTCATCACCCTCTAAAGAAAGATGTGAAACAATAATCGACATAGATATGCTGAATCGATTTTCTATAAACAAAATTTACTTACCAGCAACTTTAGTTATGGCCTTGATTTCTTTCTTCAATGGACGCAATTTGTTTTTCCAATCTTCACCGGGTTCACCAGTCCTGACAGTTGACCACAAAGCTTGGCAGGCAGCCCACAAGGCTTGAGCTTGATGAGCTGAGCGCTCGGATTCGGCACGAGCTTTAAGTAAAAAATGTGAAAAATGTTATTGTTTGAAATGTGAAAATAATAAATTAAAATATAATTTAGCAAGCAAATCATAATGCCTAAAATTTATGTTTGTTTTTAAATAAAAATTGATACTACCTCTTAACTCAGCATCAATTTCTTATGGCAGCATTTAATGAATTTATGTTTATTTAATTGTGTATAACATTTTTGTGTAACAAATTGCCTTACCTTGTAATGCAGCATCCATGCCACGCAATTTACCCAACATGGCAGCCAATTGCAATTTATAGTTGGCCTTTTCAGTTGCCAATTTATCTTCCAATTCCTTGGAGTAGTTACGTTTCAATTCACTTTCCCGCATGCTGATGGCATCCTTCAAATGATCCATATGTGCTTCAGCTTGTTGTTTCAAATGCTGGCGCAATTGCCTTTCAGCATCGGCACGAATTTGTAGAATTTTCTTTTGATTTTCAATTGCCAATTTACGCTTTTCTGCTTCCAACAGATATTCCAATTGGGCCTTAACAGCCTCGGAATCACTGTCGCCACGCAAAGCGTCAATGGCACGCTTCAAACGCAATTCTCCATCTGTTTGCAAACGTTGCAATTCCTTTTGCAAAGCCAATACATGCGAGTAGGCATGGGTGATGAATAAATCCAAATCTTCGGAAGACAACAGCAATTTCTTCTCAGCCAAATTTAAACCGGGGAAAATCGATTCAATCTCTTCAACGAAATAGTTACGAGCTTTTTCAACCTAAAATAATTACGGTAAAAGAAGAAAGGTATTTATTTATATAAGTAGTATTTGAAAGATCTGTAAATTAACTTACATTTCTCCAGTATTTTTCCGACATACTAGCAAGATCTTTATTCTTATAAAGTTCATCCTTGACGGTGTTGATGTGATCAACCAAAGTCTTAATTTTATTACGGGCAGCCACTATTTGCTCATGGTTTTCAGGTTTTGCAGCCTTTGCCAAAGCAATTTCACATCTTTCTAAAGAAACAAAAAACGAACATTTTAAATTTAAAAATTAATTCCACAATTTAAAGGAATTTATTATATTTACCAATCTTTTCCAAAGCCTCACGAGCCAATTTTTCTGCTGTAGACACAGAAGAATCGCGAGCACTTGTCTTATTCTTCAATGTGTTCCATGTTGAGGCATCAACATTTTCAACAGCCTGATCAACAATGCGGCGGACATCATTATTGAAGCTATATAAAAAATTATAACATCTTTAAAACTATACATATATAGATGCTGGGAATGGATTTACTTCTTCAAAATATCAATGGCCTTGTTGTATTCTTGTACAGCCACAGAAGCAGCAACTTCCACAGCATGTTGCAATTCTAATACATCAGAGGGCAATGGTTCAACAGGTTTGGGAGCAGGTTTAGGCGTTGGTTCACTAACTTTAGCAGCAGGTTTGGGTTCGGCAGCTTTGCTGGCTGGTGTGGCAGGCACCTTTAAAAGAAAGATATGACTGTTATTGATGAAATTAATTTCATTAATTATATGATTCTTACGGTTTTTTGAACGGGAGCTGCTTTCTTGACTTCTTCTACTTCTGTAAAAATAAAAAAATAAAACATATTATTAAATAAAAAACTTTAATTTATTTTATTCCACTCACTCTTAGATTGTTCTTTCTCCTTATCCGAACCACCAAACAAACCAGTCACACTCGATGTGGCATTTGTAATGGTTTTCGATACACTGTCAAATTGTTTTTTAACACTATCGATTTGATCGTTAATACCTTTGAATGGATCTTCTTCTTGTAAAGCGACTTTAATAAGCTTCTCGGCACCGGGCACATTTTGTTCGAGTGTTTTTCGAAATTCTTTGTCGTATCTGAAGGGAGATATTAAAATGAAAAATTATCAACATGAAATAACTATAATTTATGTTAGATCATACTTCGCATATGATATCGCACCACCGACAACAGCAACTGGTGTCAATAGGACAAATAATTTACCAAGGCCGGCTTCCCGTACATTTGGTGGTAAGCCATTACTGTTGCTATATTGTCTGCGTGTTTGTTGTTGCAGAGTTCTCTGGAAAAATAGAAAAATAATTGGAATTGAAATAATTTTAAATGAAACAGGTCGGTTTTCGTAATATTTTGTGGTACAATTTGTTGAGGTTTAAAAATGCTTTAGAAGATTCACGATAAATAGTTTTTTAACAATAATTTGCAATAGCAAGGTTATTATTATACAAAAACGAAACGTATTGCCTTTAAATTCTGGTAATTCGGCATGTGTGTCTACATAAAATCGGAAAAATTATGAAATTGTGTGTAATATCGGCGATGTGGGGATGCATAGCTTCTTTACAATAGACCAGTGACCATGTTTATTCGATTGGTAAGGAACCTGGATGTAGAACCTCAAACACTAAGCGGAGTCCTACCTAAAACAATGATGTCTATGGGTAAGTAAGATGAAAAGGTGGCTGACATTGCAAGATCAGGACTCTCTTTTTAAAATAGGAAAATAATGAAGTGAAATACTGCCGTCTATGTGAGGATGGAGATGAGATGGAAACGATCGAACATCTATTTTGTTTATGCTCCAAAATTCGACATTTTTTGGTAGACATAAGATAAACAATACTTCCGTCTATGTGAGGATGGAAAAGAGCCGGAAACGATCGAACATCTATTTTTTCGATCCTCCATACTTCGAAATTTTTTGGTAGACAAGAGATAGACAATCCAACCTTTTCCCCTGAAGTCGTGTGCAGCTTCACCCAAAAATTGCCATGACCGATTTGCCAGCCCTATTCCTTATATCTTCCTACTTATTTTTTTATATTTCAATCTTTTTTAGGTCCCTTTTCTATCTTTCTCAGATCTTTTTTTTACTCATCTCATGCCACTTTTCTAACTTTTTCAGGTCTCAGATTTTAACGACTTCTACACGGTACGTATTGCCTTCGACGAAGGATAGATTTCGTTCCCTAACTGTTCTAATGTCACGTACTCCATATGGTTGGTAGTTGACTAATGAACCAGTCAATCTCTCTCCCCTTTATTTGCAAATTCGTTTTCCGAATATAAGCGACCAATACAACTTAGATGCAATTTTAAATATTAAAGATTGAATTTCCAATTTTGTTAGTATATCTGATTTCATTACCACCAAGAGAAATGGAAGAGTACTGATAACGTCGTTTACGACATACATGGAGAATATCGATGTTATTAGCAGGGATAACAACTTCAACATATTTTACCCAGTCCTGAACTGTTTTGTTAAAGTTCTGCAAGTGAGATTTCACTTGCTGTTGGTCTCTAGAAGAAACAGCGAATATATTGTTTGCAAATACCTAACACATTGAGTACCTGCATGTGGCAGCCTCTAGGACCACACGACAACGTACATGAACCACCTCTTCAACTGCATTCGCTCAGGCAGTAGAGCAATATCGCGTGAATACCACAATTGGAGACCACCCCCATTCATCGCAGCAGAGTAGAAGCAGCTGCCAAGGCAAACACGAGTAGTCTTAGCTCAACTAAGATCAGGATGGTGCAACCACCTCAATTCATATTGGGCAAGAATTGACGGCTCGATACCTAACACATGTCCTGCATGTGGACTAGGCCACACGACACGTTACACCTCTTCAACTGCCCAGCTAAGCCGACTCATCTATCGCCGAATTCACTTTGGACGCAACCTGTTAAAGTTGCAACATTCTTGAATTTGGAGGTAGAGGAAGCAGAACCAGACGATGAATGACCAACAACATGTATTCAGTTGCTACAACAACAACAAAAATCGAGTCCTTGTTGACGTTCTAATATTTTCAACAGAAAGTTAACGTAGATATTATATAGAACTACTGAGGGGTGAAGACAGACAGGTGTTGAGAGGACTGGTAGCAAAGATATGGGTTATACCTTCCACAAAGCATGGATTTTTTCCTTGTTTTGGTATTCGGCAGAGGATGGTCTTTTTCCAATCATTTGGTATTATTCCGTTTTTCATAATATTGTTTAATAATTTGAAAAATGTATTTTATAAATGGATTCCTCCCGAGAACCCTAATAATTATTGCAATCGATGCGTCGATAAGGACATTAAAAAAATAACTAAACTTCCCGAGGAAATTCGAAGAGTTGTGCTCATTTAGCAACAAGTAAACTTCTTATCTGTAGGACTCCTATACCACAAAAACAGTACAGATTTAAAATGCGTATAGCATTTCCACTAGATCTAATTAAAATTGTTCACTATTACTTACACGAATAATTGCAATCGAATAGAAACACCTGCAGGAAGGACGTCAACTACTATAGGTGCATAAACAAAAAGTCCGAAATCTACAACAATTACAATTAAAAACTGAGCTGAATTTCTTATCGGCGCGATCAGATCTGTCAACAAAATTTCTGAAACGTTTTCACTTCTTCACATCTGTAACTTGACTAGGTACGTATATAATCCCTCATACCTAATTTTTCTATATACCCCGAGTCTCTGCTACAGTGTGGAAGAATATTATTATATTAAATTTGTTTATACATGGGAACATTGCCCACAGTGCCAAGGTTCCATAAACAACAAACAGCAATATATAGAAGAATAACTGATAAAAATGTCAGTGTCCACTAATTTGTATAATATAAAAATCTTGCTTAAGGATTTATTCGTTAACATTTTATCCCAACACAATATCGGGCCTTAAGACTCTTCAATTTGGATCAATGTCAACCATCAAAATAAACGATGGCATCAGCTGGTACTTCACATTCATCATTCAAGAAGAAATTGACCAATAGCACACACAGCAACTAGAGCAGCCAATGATTTGCACGCTGTTGTAACCACCAATTTTTCTATGACAAACTCTTATTTTCTAACACACTGGACCCGATCAGAATTCCTTCTGATAACACCTGCAATAGATAGCCTTAACATTAATAATTTGGAAATGCTGCAGTTCCAAATCCAATGGTGACATAACAGTACGACTAATTTTCGATATTTGTGAGTGCCACCACACAGCCATACATGGGCAAGAAAGGTGAGGGGCAATGGTTATGTTTTTGCACACAATGCTACACACATGCCGTGTGAGTGTAAAAGATCTGCTATGTCTGTCGTTAGTCCCCGCAAATGAAGAAGACGTCAGCTTTTTCATAACTCACCTGCAGAGCACTTTTGCAAGGCTCCCTCAAGGCCAAACGATACATGATGGGCTAAGCGAATATTTTGTAAATTTTAACGCTAAATCAATTTTGTTTGGACCGGCTTAAAACCTCTGTTTTTTTTCGTAGGAAATCTCTTCCCGTAATCAACTTGACCAAGAGCAGCAGAATAACTACAGAGAGAAACGATTTTCAAGCAGTTGTCAAATTAACAAAAGAAGAAAAAACTAATGACAGCGTATGTCAGAAATAAGATGGGGAGCTCGTTAATGTTGTTTCGGTTCACAAAAACCGAATACGATAGAAATGGAAAAGCAAATATTTATTTTGTTTATTACAATTTTCGAAATTAATTCATCATATAAAGAAAGACAATGCAGATTCCGATAAATGAAAGACAATAGAAACTAATAAGTGATAAATAAATTTGCTTGGCCATCCAATAACCCAGAATGTATCGGTTCGTTCCATGTGGTTCAATGCATGTGTTCACTAATGGAACATAGCAACAACAATAGTAATCATATGTTTTTGACAATTGGCATTGTTCATATTTTTCGTGATTCTCCTTCACACACTGTTTTTGGTTATGTGACTCGAGGGGAAATAAACGATTCTGAAAGAAAATATAATTTCCTCAATAAAAATGTTGCGTTCTTTAATTGGAAATGGTAATATTTACATAGAAATATTGTTTAATATCTAATAACCTAAACCATTTGATATATTACAGCACTTAGAACTGGTGCAGTCGCACTGCGTTCACCAGTCGTATCCGGACCTTTGCAAAAGTGTGCATTCTCCTCCCTGCAAGTTAACACCGGCTGCAATACCGTTTTCCCCAAACTAACATTGCCAACGATCAGCGGTAATGTGCTCCAGCAACCATTGCCTCTGCAAGCACAACAATCCCGCAGTGTTACGAAATTTTCCCTTAATAAGGGTAAACGTAAGAGTGTAAAGGCTGTTATAAAACGTTTCAGACGACTTGATTGGGGTGCCTGGATTCGCACATATACTGGCCGTCAAAAGAAACTGTTCTCCAAATCGCCCGAACGTAGACGTCGTTTGCGTCAACATGTATTCACAAATTCCACTCAAAGTTGGTTACTCGACAAAATGGTAACAAGCTATTGGAGGCGACCCAAGAATTGGGTAGATGATATCTATGCTCCCTATCATAAGCGTGATGAATTCTTTGCCACCAAAAGTAAACCATTTAAGGTGTAAATAAATATGAATAGTACAGATTATATTTGTTGTTGAAATAAATGTGTTAATTATGGTAAATAATACGTAGGTATTTCCATTACTGTTTTCATAGGATGAAGTGTTTATTCTTCCCTGAGGAGAAATCGGTTCGAAATTCTGCATACTTTGTTCATAAGCAAATTATAAATAATTATATGTAATTAATTACTTACAATTATAAAATTTACTGCCGATTCATTAGCTATTATGAAAAACCACTTAAAGGGACACCATTCTCGGTGTCAACATTTTTTTTTTTTTTTGATTTAATTCGAATCTACTCTAATTCAAGAATGTCCCTACAAAATAATCCAATCGGTCCCAAATTTTGACACGTTTCTCTGGGAGTATATAGCTCTCGTATGAACTAGAATAAAGCCAATCGGTGAAAATCTTCCTTACTTTTTAACCTAGCTTGTGGTCAAAAGTAGGTGATTTTCCCAAAAAAAAAAATTCAAAGTTCCGCCATTTTGTTAATTGTTGTGTGGATTATTGACTAATCCTAGTTCATACGAGAGCCAGACATGTGCCCTTTCTAACACCGTTGCAATTTTCGGATTCTGATGTTCCAGTGAGGAGTTATCATCTCCGCCATCAAAAATAAGGACTTTTCTTTGATCACAAAAAACAACAACAACAAAAATTTTTGTAAATTCGAGAATGGGGGGTTCCCTTAAAACAGTTTTTTTTTATAAATGAATCGGACTTTAGTATACTTATTTAAGACTTTTACCCATTCTGAGCCTATTATTATTGAGATAATGCTTATTTTAGGAAAACACCGACTTTATTGTTCCGAAAAGCAACATCAAAACGATTTCCATATTACAAATATTTTATAATAATTTTAAATTGTAGCATGTTTTTTTATGCGTTCTTTACAATTATGACAAAGTCCGTGTGAAAATATTTAATTTCAAAATACTTATTGGTCGTTAAAAATCGACCTATTTTGTCGTTAGTGGTAAAAGAAAACATACATTTCTGCCTAATAAATGAACTTAGCTTAAGGGAACCCCACCCATTCTCGATTTTAATTTTTCAAGATTTTCAATGGACTGGCAAATCAATACCAATGCTTGTTAAGGTTTGTAACATTGCACACATATATTTGAAGATTTAAAAGAGAAGAAAAATAATTTACAAAAAAATTTTGTTATTGCTTTGTTTTTTTTTTTTTTTTTGTAATTAAAGAAAAGTCCTTATTTTTGATGGCGGGCATGAACTCCTCACTGGAACATCGGAATCCGAAAATTCCAACGGTGTTAGAAAGAGTACATGTCTGGCTCTCGTATGAACTAGGATTATTGACTTCGCTCTAAAATTAACAAAATGGCGGACCTTTGAAAAAATATTTTTGGAAAAATATTTAAGGAAGATCTTCGCCGATTGGCTTTATCCTAGTTCATACGATAGCTATACACTCACAGAGAAACGTGTAAATATTTGGAATCGATTGGGTTATTAGTTTTTGAGTTATCGTGCCCGCCATTCGCAAAAGAGAAAACCCCGTTTAAAGTTTGGGAAGCCCTTTAGCCGTCACTTGATGCTGACACAATAAATCGGCTATATCTTCAAGAGTTCTTGAGATTTTCACTTGAAATTTTGTAGAGACATTCTTGAATTATTGTAGAATCGAATTAAATCAAAAAAAAAAATTGTCCCCGAGAATGGGGGGTCCCCTTAACGAAATTTTAAACGGATATATATGATCATATTAATGAAGATTATTTAAGGTAATTGTGATATATATCCAGTGACAGGATTTTTTAGTTATTTGAGCTTAAATGCAATAGATGCCAACTTCCAGTATATACCGACATTAGGAATACTTAACATATAGTTTGCATTTATTATTTGAATCCGTTCGTATTTATAAATATGTCCCTATGTAATGTTGCAGGACATAACTTCATTAATTCAATATTAAACAAGTAAAAATGTGGTAGGGCCGGCCCGAACTTTATTTATACCCTCCACCATGTGGTGTACATTCAAAGTTTCTTTAAAAGGTCCAGTTGTCCATTAGTAGTAATTTATGTTTTGAAGAAATTAAATACCAAATAACACACACGAAGTTTGGAAAACCAGACCACCATACCAACAAATTAGCGAAACCTTTGTATGTATTTTAAAACATTGACCTGATGTTGAAAATTTTCTGGAAAGTATTTTTTATTTGAAATGGTGAATTACAGCCACTTCGAAAATGTGGCTAAACATTCAGAATACAAAAAAAGTTATGAGAGGTTATTTCCAAATATAACCCTACATCCAAAATCTTTTGTAAAGATTTTTGTGTCTTATGATAACTTGGCATTCCAATTTACAGTCGTTTCGTAGGTGAAATTCAGCGAAAGCCAATTACAGCCACGTCGGTTGGAAAATTTTGCTAAGTTAGAAAATTTGGCTAAAATGTGGGATCTATATCAAAACATGGACCATGGATCTACATAGATGTATGTCAGCCTTCAAATTACAGCCCTTCGGGCTATTGTTTTAGAATATGAGTCAAATATGTTCATGCCAATTCCACCCGATTGAAAGCCACTAGGTTTTAAAAACAGTTGTGTATTGCACTTTCCCCCGTCAGCCTCAAGCGGGAAAGTATTGTCAAAAGGACACAAAGACTAACAATTTCGGAACTGAATTTATTTTCTTCGGCTAATCCAATATATTGCCTAACCGTGGATATAACGAATTTCTATAAAGAACTAATTTGTTTGCCCCCTACTTCTTCGCTATAACCGTACTTTACTGTAGAATAAAAATTAATTAATAGTGTTACGAAACTCAAAATTTAAATGTTTTTAATGTTACAACCACGTAGTAAAAAAGTTGAGTAAGAGTTTGGACTGTTTTAAAAAAAATTGATGACTAAAGATGACAGATTATAGAAATAGATTACAAATAGAGGACATAGATTTTATAGATGAAAGTTAGTTAATAAAGATGATTTTCCTCTAAAAAAGAGCACCTTATATAGGGACCCTCGACTATCCACTACATGTCATCTATAAAGATTTTTTTGGGCTGTAGTTCGTTCTCAGTTTTTCTATCTGGACTTCCTGACTTCGACTTCGCTATTTATTTTAGTTTCAGGGTGCTGTATTAGAAGTCAATTCCTTTTAATAGGATTGTTATAGACTCGACTGCACGATAAATTGTGTATGCATTATGTAAATCCATTTGTAAAATCTGAAAATATTCTTCACAGAGAGATATTCTAGTCGATCTTCTTGTTGTCCTATCAAAATTTAATTTTTAATTTATTCCCTTCTTGAACGTAACAATTACGAATAAAAATACGTCATACGTTATACGCCATGAATAAATTGTATGTTTATATATACACACACACATAAAAACAACCCTGATGCTATACAATTTTCTTTCAGCATTTGTTCTATACACATAACATAAATTGATAATTTGATATAGGCCATCAACAAGTCAGGTTGGCCGAGCGGTCTAAGGCGCCAGATTTAAGCTCTGGTTCCCGAGAGGGAGCGTGGGTTCGAACCCCACACCTGACAAACTTTTTTCAGTTTTTATAATTTTTTATTTCACAATATTTTTATTTATTTTCATTATAGATTTTTTGTTTTCTGAAATATAAAGAAAATATAAACACTTCTATAAATTATAAGGATATTAAAAGGGGGATTTAACCACATAAAATATATTCTTTAGAGTGGTCAAACGAAAGTCACCAGAAACAAGTTGAAAATTTTTTTAATCATTAGATGAATGTATATAAATTGTATCATTCCATTTACGTATTTGGCCCCAAGGGCGAAATCTATATAAATTAATCCTCTAACTGGCTATGTTTTTACACACTACGTCTAAAAATTATTTTGGCGCTAATTTTTAATCAACTAGAAAATTTTCAATGCCTTTATTCCTAGCAAGGGTAGAAATTCATTCAGTATCTAGGTAATTCTGCGTAGCAAAGTTTTTATCGCCTAATGGCGGGCTTGCCGGCTATAGGGTTGATGAAAATCGGTTCATATTTTTATGTAGCTCACATATTTAATTTGCATGTAAATAAAACACTCATTATGCTACATCTGTCCGATATATTTGAACTTTTGCACAGACGGCTAAATGAAGTCTATCGTATAATTCAAACATAGATTTCACAGCTGGCCTAAATTTTATTTGAATACATTATGTTTTGGTAGTTTAATCCCAAAAGCATATTTTACAAAATGGCAATGTGCTGTATGATGGCCCGTTTGCCTTAAGTCCGTTACTTAACTAATGTATTAATATAATTGTTATTGATTGCTTTTTCAAATTTTAGATTTTCTATTTATTTTACATATTATTTGCTCTTTCATAATTTTATTAGATATAACACAAACTTATACAAAAAAAATAGATTAACATTTTATAAATGCACATTGCTTAAAACTTTATATTGATTTTGGAAATCGAAAACAAAGAAACAAATATATAAACAGTTTACACAGGATGTCCAGCAACTGGATAGAACACTGTCACATTCTAATTTAGGGGGCAACAACTTTGTTCACCAATTTACCCAAACATTGGATTTCACTTTCAATAACATCACCAGGTTTAAGGTATTCGGGAGGGTTACGATACATGCCAACACCTTTGGGTGTACCAGTCAATAGAATATCACCAGGTTGCAATGTCATTGATCTGAAAGAGAGAAAGGAAAATATTTGTTAATTTATTTTCAAAATGATTAAAGCAAACATTTCAACTTACTGAGACAAACGGCTAATCATATCATCAATTTTGTAAATCATATTGTTGGTGTTACTGTGTTGTTTTTCAACACCATTAATTTTGCACACCATTTCCAAGTCATGTGGATCTTTAATGAGACTTTTGTGTACAATCGATGGACCAATCGGTAAGAAGGTATCCATAGATTTGCCAATTAAAAATTGTCCACCATTACGTTCCTTTTGCCAGTCACGTGCTGAAATATCTTGAGCAACACTATAGCCAAAGATATAGTCCATAGCCTGTTCGCGGCTAACATCTTTGCATTTCTTGCCAATGATGACAGCCAATTCAACTTCCCAATCGATTTTCTATAATGAAAAGGGAAGCAAAAATGATATGAAAAAATTAATACTTAAATATGTATGTAAATTAAAATTAAAAAAATATGTGAATATTTTGTATTTCATAATTCGTCCTAGACTATTTTATAAAACTAAACAATTAAATATAAGTGAGTTCGACTATTCCATCTGAAGTAGGAAGTTGAAAATCCTGCTTAAATATACTGAATCTATAAATAATAATTCTGTAGGCCAGTATCATTTCAATTTTTTTTATTCATTTTGGAGTACTTTAGCAATTATTATCTATAAAAATTATTTTATCGCAATGACATCTACCGTGCATTTCTGATTTTATTTAATTCTGGCATTATCTAATAAAAAATATGCTAATATAATTTGTTGATGTTTATACAACTAAATATATGTGTGGATATGCCTACTATATATATGTATGCCAATCACGCTATGTTTGTTTATTGCATATCATTTAGATTGCTTCTTTTCATATTCAGCTGATAATGTTAATCAAAGGCTAGCAATTCCCATAAAATAGCAACATTTTTGAATACTCTTCTAGAAAACAATCAGATACACTCAAGCTGTAAATATTCAAATGGGCTAACTATTTGTTAAGTATGGAAAGAAACTGGATCTTATTTTTGATCCCAAAACACTAACGTTATAATTAATTCTGAATATAGGTATGTAAAAAATATTACTTACATTTGTAATTTTATGAGCAATAACATTACCCCTTGGTCCAACCAGAGTATTATTGAATTTACTAAAGAACATTGGCTGCTTTGGTGGTTCCTTATTTTGTTCCTCACAATGATCCTGATAGTTCAAGCCAATGCAAAGAATCTTCTCGGGATTGGTAACAGGTGGCAGCAACGTAATCGAATCATTCATTTCTTCACTTTTGAAATTTTTCAATTTCTCTTCCAATTCCGAAATGGAATAATTTTGTTTAATAAATGAGACCATGTCATTTGAGACGCACGATCCACTGGATAATTCCACCAAAGAGGTGCCATCTTCCGATACGACACCCAAACGTTGGCGTTCATCATTTTTACGTAAGAATTGTACAAATCTCATTTTCGGTACCTGTTTCCTTTAAAGAAAAATTCCACAAAATGAATTGAAATATTCTTTTATCAACCAAATGAAAGTAATAAAGTCTATGCGATCTTTCTGTCATATAGGTACGTACGTTTCACAGCTGTAGTAACGCATACAACCAAAGCCGGGGAGAGATTTGTGCGTGTGTTGTCTCAAAAGTACTCCAAAGACTCTCAGAGAAACCATGTTTATGCAATTTGGCTAATCAAGTATTTTGCTAAAAAAATTTATTTTAACGTTTTATTTCTACTACATTTATCTTGTTGCACTAGATTACCTTATTAGATGTTTTTATTAACGGTAATTTTTTTAATTAATTTAACTAGAAATTTTGAGTTTTCCGATTATCCTCAAACACAAACACCGGAAAATTAATTTGCTATTCACATGGAAGTGATAACAAATAATTGATAACAAATGGTCGCATATGACGCAGAGTTGCTTCAAATGGTATGTATTTTACCGTTACGTTTGGAATGAGGACATATGAGTGGTGTAGAGGCCGTCTTGCTAAACTCTGGTCCATTCTGCTTATGGTGTTTTTACACGATATGTATTTTACATATGTGATGTTACTTTTTTACACATGGAAATCGAATTCGTCATGTGAAACATACGGAAATTTCAATGTGTCAAAAGGATATACAATTACATATGTATTTTTTTCCGAATAGGACGCGCTCTATTTTCGTATGTGAAACATAAGGAAATCAGCTGTTTGAATGAAACACATTGTTGGAAGAAAATATTTCAATTGTAAGTCAAAGAAAAGGATTAAAAGGCAACAATTACAAATTATTATTTCGTTTGTAGATGTTTAATAAAAAAATGATGTTGATTTAAGAAAAAATAAAAGTGTTTTTTTATAGGTTTCATTTCATACAATGTAATCATGGTACAATTATAAAAGGTAACAGCAAATCCCAGCTGATTTGATTCCAACGTAATACTAGTGTCAATATGAATTTGACAAATTATGTTTTTAAAAATCACCCAACAGGAAAATTGGGAACGGATACAATTTGAAATTGTTCATTGTTAAATGTGCTCCCGTATTCAATTTACTCAATCTGCCTGCTGGGAAAGTTTCAGAAAGCAAATCTTTCTTGAAGGAATAACTCGCTATTCCCAGCATTTTCATATGTGTTACACATATATATGGCAATGGCTCAATTAAAGAAAAGATGTGGAAGCGATAGAAATATAAATTTGATAGATTTTCATTCATGTTTTTCAATTTTTATTTTGAGGATTCGAAAATATTCCATTTTCAAAATAAAAATAATTTGATGATAATTTGTTTGTTTGTTTACATTTTTCTGTCAAATGAGTTGACACTAGTAGAACTTACAACAACAAATTTCCATGTGGTTGTTGTATCGTTTTTTGTACAACAACACTTGCTGTTACCTTTTATTATTATACCATGCAATGTAATATAAAAAATTCCAGCATGGCCAATAACTTATATTAACTTATATATAAAAAAATCCAAACAAAGAATAAACTAAATAAATTAAAAATACATAACAGTAAAAAAAACCCTACAAAATGAAATTTAATGCTAACAGATTCAAAAAAAAAGAACCCCAATCCACTGCACTTTACTTACCTTTCGCTAAGAAAAGTGGAGAGGAAAGGAAGCATAAGAAACCCTACATGAAAGTAAACTATATATCCCTAGCACCACAGACACTAAATTTCATATGTACCAGCGCATATGTACAGTATTTTTCGGTTAATTGCACATCAAAATTTGCACAAATGTTCGTTCAATTAACCGAGGAATCAATTATCCGAACCCGCTTAATTGAATAGTTGGTTCAATTACAGTAATCACGTATAATTGGAACTACTAATGATTTAAAAAAAAAAAATCCAACGTCAAATACAAATTACGCTTTCTCGAAGTTTTTCCTTAGCCATAAACACATGTTTTGAATTAGTAAAGATGCCACCTAGTCTTTTCACAAATTATGTCAAATATGTATGTAAAAAAATGACAGATTATTTTTTAATTATTATTGTGCAATTAACGGTGAAAAGTAAAGGGAAATTTATTTTTGATGACATGAATTTTGAACCAATTAAGCGGGAAAATCAATTAACAGAGTTTAGTTATCCGAGAAAATTTATATGTATATTCCTATGAGATATTTGTTGCCCCATCATGTGGTTCAATTAAGCGTGGAAACCAATTAACAGCCAAGAATTAAAAAAAAAAACAAAGTAACACTATGCAACCTGTAATCAGCGATTTCATCAAAGCCAACTTAATCAAATACGAGACGAATGCACAAACAGTTCCCTCCTATACGCAAAAGTGGAAGAGGTAAACTTACGAAGGCTCAAAGGGAGCTGATTCCACAATCTTACGACTCTAACTACAAATTATCTTTCACAAATTACAGACGAAAAACTCGGATACAACAACTGAGGGTTCCGAGAGGATCTCCACATCACAAACCTACTACACAGCCGTAATTCAACATTTCTCATAATTCTATAATAACACAAAAGGACATGATGACTACGACCCAAACCATATACATAACGAACAATGGATTTAACAACCTTTTGAAGCCGATGCAAATGACCAGAGTTAGAGCCCGAAATTACCTCCAGACAATAGTTTACCTGAGCCATCAACAACGACCTAGCCACCTTCACCCTAACGCCAAGAGGCAAATATGCTTAGACACTATAAAGCTTCCTAAGCTGGAATCGCACACGAGACAACAGAAGATCAATGATCGAAAAACTATGTTTGACAGCAATAATTACACGCAAGCACTTCATTTCATCAACAATATTAATAGTAAAGGAACTAACGCGAATATTAGGCATATAACCGTCATAGAAACAATTGAAAAAAACAGCCTCAGTCTTATTCCAATTTATATCAAGACCATTGGATGAGATCCACATAGAGAGAGATTGCAACGTTGTGTTAGCCAGATTTTCCAACCTGGCGAGATCAACACTCATAAAGAAAACATGTATGTCATCCGCATACAAGAAGAGACTACAATTACTATCAGTAACAGAATCCATGATGTCATTAATGAACATATTAAAAAGTAATGGGCCCAGCACAGAATCCTGCGGGACTCCACACCGGATTAGACATTTCCACACAGGGAAACATTTCAAAATTGCTCTCAGAGTACAAAATAATTTGAAAAGTTCCGGAACGCAAATCTAGTAAATATGTCAAAATTAGATGGCAATACTTCAAAATCAACATAACAGCCAATCAGAAGTAGGCATTCCTGTCTACCATTTTTACTTGACCAAATTTCTCGAGTAAAAAGTTTACAAAGAGAAAGCTATTTTGTTTGGTACTCTCTTAAATTTGAGTCAATGTTTTACCAGTTTTGTGGGTTGAGGAACGGTTTTCGAGTAAGAAGTTGCAAAACATGTAAAATGAGTAGATTCTTTTAGGTTCTGGAACGGAACTGGATGTCGACTTGTGGCGCAGAAAGTTCCACCACACAAGAGAACCATAGGATAGGACGCGCCCTACCAAGGTGTTATACAACTAGTGTATAGTCGATGGTTTTAGCTGGGGCTTTTCCAATGAAGTTATTGAATGCATGAAATGAATGCAATCATCCCTCTCTTCGCCCGTTACTCAGCGTTCCTATTCCATCGTAGTTGAACGTCCAGGATTGTGACGAGGTACTTTGCTTCAGGAGACAGATGAAGTTGCACTCCATCCAGTGTTGGTGGAGCAAAAACGCCGAGCTTACGTTTCCTTGTGAACATTACCAGTTCAGTCTTTGTTGAATTTACTCCAAGGAATTTAGCCTTGGCCAGCGTGACAGCGTCGATAGGCTCTTTGCATAAGCTCCGAGATTGTTGACGGAAACTTTCCGGAAATCAATATCACCGCGTCGCCCGCATATGCTACGAGTTTGATACCTTTCCCGTCCAGTTTCATCAGTATGTTGTTGATTACCAATAGCCATAGCAACGGTGAGAGCACCCGCCCTGAGGAGTACCTCTTCTTACTGTTTTCCTGATTTTCGTATCCCCTACATTTGAATTTATAATTCTGCTATTTAGCATTTTATCTATCCAACAGGTAAGGGTTTCAGGAATAGTAACTTTCTTTCTATATCTAGAAAGGCGGCCAACATAAAGTTCGAGTTTTCCATATTCCTCTCAATATATTTTATCCACATCTTTGAAACCTGGGAAATGGGTTTCTGCAAGGAGAATAAGAGTCTCAGAATCGGAGTTCGTCCACGCACCATCTAATTTCTTAATACTCCTAATGATTGCTCAACCACGCTATTCACCGGACTTTTTCATTTTTTCTAGTGTAATGTCTTACAGTGTCATATTTACATATAAGAATATTCAACAGGTTGTTTTGTTTATTTCACATATTTCTACAATTTTATTTAAGGAAAATATCGCGAAAAATAAATGGAATGTTATGTTTTTTATGTTAATAAAATGTTATGTTAATAAGAATTATTCCCAATACTCCGAAAGATTTTTCTCTGAGTGATGTAATGCTGAATTTTAATTGCAACTAAAATTGAAATTATTTTCATTTTGTTTATATTTTTTCAAGGCATTACAAACACATTTACAAATTGAGTAATTGTTTTGACAAAACAGGGGCACACCTACTTCTTGTTATTGTACCATTTTTTCTATTTTTCCTTTTTTAATTTATACAGTTTTATCATATTTTAATTACGGGAACAGACCACCTGTCTAACTTAATCGATAGTCTATATCCACCTCAATTCCAATTTGAATTGTCAGAAGTCGATTAATCGTTTCACCGCAAATCGACTTACACATCCCTAACTGTCAGCGCACAGCTGGAAAAGGAAAGGAAAGGTAAAGAGCGAGCTTGCAAATTTTTCTCAATTCAAAAATTATTCTATTTAACAAAATTAATTTTTAGTTGCTCTGGGCATTTGTAAAACTTGTAATATTGTAAAGACAGCATAATAATGGCTATGTTAGCTAGAACTCTTGGACGCACCCTTGTGCAGGTGAGTAGATCATTCAAAAATATGCTATTCTTGTATGCGGCACTAGCGCTTACATAAACACTTGATGCCCCAATCGCAGACAAGAAGAATGTCTTCTTTAGAAGAAGAACAATGCATTTGAGGTTATAATCCTTAGAATCAGAATAAACATATCCTTTGTGGTTATAATTTTGGTTTTAATCGTATTTGTTTTTTCTTCGACAGGGTCTTCAGACAAGCGCTTCGCGTTCAATTCAAACTACAGCTGCTGTCAATAGTGTAAGTACAAGTTCATAGATAAATATTGCTGGAAAACGTCCAATTGTTATTGTTTTATGTATTGTTTACAGGATCCTGGTACTCATGGTGGTAATCGTACAACTTGCACCTTGATTCCCGGTGATGGTGTTGGCCCTGAATTGGTATACGCCTTGCAAGAAGTTTTTAAGGTTAGTGTGTTTTCTACAACGGCAATTAGTTTCCATAGTATTTTAATCGTATGTCCATCTATCTCATATAGGCAGCCAATGTTCCTGTTGACTTTGAATCCTATTTCCTTTCCGAAGTCAATCCTGTTTTGAGTGCTAAATTGGAAGATGTTGTAGCCTCAATTCAAAAGAACAAAGTTTGCATTAAGGTAAGTAAAAAGTATAATTAAAATATATAATTAATATAAAAACGAAAAATCATAAACATATTTATAATTAATATAAAAAAAACATTTTTGGAATATTAGTGTTCGATCTATATTACGAAGAAATCCAAAGCATAATAAAGTTGAAAAGTGTCCTAACAGGTTTCTTAACATAAAAGTCTTTTCCAAGGAATATGTTCTCGCCATTGCAATATACAGCCACATATTTCATTCATTCATGACTTATATTTATATAAATTATATTCTAAAAAAGTATATCTCAACATATCTTCCGCCGGCCGGATGTTATATGGTGCACAAAAAACGATACGTCTGTCTAATCACGAATTTTGGTACAGCGGCTGAATTTGGTCTAGAATGAAGTTTGTATAGCTTGGTTTAAAAAGAGTAAAATATTGATGTAGGCTCACATGGAATTTCGTTCGATTTATGTAGGTAATATGTAAAGATTATCAACCCCAAAAAAATGTATATCATATACCATCGATCATTTGCTGCAACACCATCATAAATCAAAAATCTATTTCACGGAAAATGCTTTTAAAGTTTTAAAAACAATTTCATAAGGAAAATGCTTTTAAAGTTTAAAATTAGGCATCATTAAATTAAAAATCATGATTTATGACCTATGCCGCTTTTGCTGTAAATGAGCGATATATAACCAAATTCAGGCTGGCCGAATTATTAAATTATGTCTCAATTTCAGAATCAATCTATATTTAGAAAACATAATTTAAAAAAATTGAAACTTTGAATATATTGCTAACATTAGCCCTCGTATTTCTTGCCTATACTATATAATACATATCATTGACATTCGATATAGATTTTCTGTTATTTTTTTACACAGCTGTATATGCTTCCATTGAAAGTGTTTTTGCATCGTCTATCAATTTGTTCAATTTCCACTAATTGTTGTTGAGAGAACCTCAATTGTTATTATGAATAAATAGCAATATGTTTTATATTGAACGTGCAGGTAGCGTGTGTGTGTGTGTGTGTATGTTTCTGGTGTAGTACGGGTAACGATAATCCGTTATAATTTATATTTACATATTTGCAGTTGTAATTAAACTAAATTAGTCAACATGATAATTTGAACACATTTTGTCGGAATGGAAAGGCAGATTTTTACACATATGGAGATTTCTGGAAAAAAGTAAAACAAAGCCGAAGAATTTGTTTCTTTGTCATTTTTTCTTCTTGTTCTTAGCATAAATACTACTAAAGACACTGCAGAAATAAAAACTGAAAAATCAAAAATATCGCGTGAGTGACCGAGAAAAATCCTTCGCAAATAAAGGATATTCCAAATTTTGAAAGTGCAATAATAAATTTTGACATCTTTTATTCATGTAAAGAATATTTAATGTTCAAAATGTTCACACAATTCGCAGAGTTTTCCATTATTAGCAATGATGTCTTAGGTCATGTATATTTATAGTCGAGTGAGTGACGCTCTTTTGTTGTTTTTATCTCAGAAGATAAAACCCGGAGGCCCTCAATTTTTTACCACTGATAAAGTGCTACAAAAAAGTATTAAGAGTGAATTGTAAAAAATTTAATAGTTTTTGATTTATCAGTAGTGTTGGCGGTTTATTTGGGATACCATTTGTATTTTGTTTTTGCAAAATAGTCAGGCTGAATCCCAGTTTGTTGTTTATATACTATTTATGTGGGGAATGTATGGCATTGTTTGCCGAGGGGTAAGGCAGGGAAGACTATAGTTTCGGATCACGCCACTGATCCTCATCAGTTCCCTTAGTTTTTTGTTGGGATATTCTCCCCAGAAGCTATTGCTTCTATACAAAAAACCTCTCATACCCAAATGTCTCTTGTAACAAAGCGAATAATTTAGCTGACCAACGACATAATCTGCATGAGAATTTCGCTGGAGTCTCACTTCGAGGTTAACAAGGCATTTACAAACAATACCACACCTTTCCCACTGTCTTCCCTGCCTTACCCCTCGGCAAACAATTCCATACTTTCCCTACTAATAAATAGTTGTTTTTTATAAAAACAACAAACTGGGATTCAGCCTGACTATTTTGCAAAAACAGTTTTTGATTTATTTAACATTTCAAATTTGATTTTGCCTCTGAAAGATATCGACTTTGTGTGTGTTTATCCCTTCTTTGCATGATTTTTTATTGTTTGTAAAAAAAAATCTTGGTGATAGAGTTCATCCTCAAAAAGAAGGAAAATTTATTTATAATCATTTTAGTATTAATTAACATAATTAATTTAAAATATGATGGGAATTTCCATCACCATGCAATGCTGGCTCATAACATAGTATAAAAACCAGTAAGGAAAGTTGTAAAGTCGGACTGAGCCGACTATATGATACCCTTCACCACTTTGGGTATATTCTACATATGTATCCTAACAGACGTAGCGTGTTTGTTATATATCTTTATCTGAACCGATCTATGGATCTTTTCACGAAGCTTAGTAACACTAATTTAGTACCCCATATCAAAATTCGTGCAAATCAAAAGATATATAGGGACTTTGGTGCACCAATTACATAAACTCGGACGAAAATATATATGGGTGCTACATCTAAATCTGAACCGATTTTCACGAATTTTAGCACACGTCATTCTAGACTTAATTCAGTACGCTATGACAAATTATGTGCAAATCGAATCGAGAATTTGGTGCACCAAGTACCTAAAATCGGATGAATATATATATATATATATATTTATGGGAGCTATATCTAAATCTGAACCGATTTTCACGAAACTCTGCACACATCATTCTAGACTTAATTCAGTACGATATGCCAAATTTCGTGCAAATCGAAAGATATATAGGGACTTTGGTACACCATTTACCTTAAATCGGACGAAGCTATATATGGGAGCTATATCTAAATCTGAACCGATTTTCACGAAACTCTGCACACATCATTGTAGACCTTATTCATTACGCTGTGCCAAATTTCGTGCAAATCGAAAGATGTATAGGGACTTTGGTACACCATTTACCTTAAATCGGACGAATTTTCCTAATTTCAATATGGTTCGTCCTTGGGCCAAACAAATGAGCTGTGCCAAATTTCATCCAATTCGGATCATAAATGCGACCTGTACTTTGTTAACAAAAATATATGGACGGGCGGACAGACGGACATGCATAAATCGACTCAGAAAGTGATTCTATTTATTTATTTCAATCTTAACATGTATAACGAAGCCTTTAGGCCAATAAATGTAATACATAATGCATAACAGTATGATTTAACTGCAATAAAAGTGGATATAACTGAATAATTTTTATACCCTTCACCACACTGTAGTATAGGGTATTATGTATTTGTGCATTTGTTTGTAACAGGCAAAAGGAATCGAGATAGGCCCATGGTTCCTTTTGAGAATATGCATAGAATCACCGTTTCCAATCAGATGACAACAAATATTACTGGCACCGCTCACATGACAATAAAACTGTGGGAAAGTTTGATGGGAATGTTTCACTTGGCGGAACTTTAATGCATATCAACAAGAAAAATGTTAGAAATTGGTTGCCTTACCAAAAATGTTTTTTCACAATATTGTATTTAGGTTCATGTTTCCAAATTTTATTTACTCTCTGATACAATAATAATGTGTTTAAGTAATTTCTATTACAATAGTGCCTTTGTGCCAATAATAGGCACTTTTTTCTAATAGTCGGCATGTCGTATTTTAGTTAAACAAAAATAATTTAATTTAATTTTTCTGCTATTTTCGTTAATAAATAATTATTATCAGACGTTTCCATCAGCGTTGTATTAAAAAAATTATATAAAATAATTTTATTTATTAAAATATTACAATTATAAAACATGGTGCCGACTTCGGGAACCTTTTATCCAGTTCTAGACATAGCTAAATAAGGCATTTCAGAGGTTAAAAGAATTTAAGATTAAAATCATGTCTTCCATTATGAAAAACCACTCAAAACTAATTTTTATCGGTATTTCGAGCACTTATTTAAAATTTTTTCCAATTTTGAGCCAAAATGATCGAAAAATTTTAAATGTACTTAGCACGATTAAATTTTATACAGAGATAGGTTGCAGTGTTATTGAAGATTATTCAAGGTATTTTTCAAATTCATTTAACACTTAAAATCGAGCTGCATAATGTCAGCATCATTTAAAGGTAGATGTAGTTAAAATATTGAAAAATGATACATGAGAGACGTAGTCCCCATTTTGTAGGCTTCTAGTTTAACTTTGTCACGAAGACCGTGATATGTCACAAATCGATAGAGAACATAAAATGGTTCGCCTCAACCGGTTTTTACACATTTTTTACATTAAAGTAGACACAGCTTTCACCTAAATAAAGTTATATCAATATCATAAAAAGTTTGTAACGACAGATCAATTAACCCAAAACTATTCACTTCTTTTCATATACTTAAGTAATTCTCGAGTTATAAAAGGGGGAACCTCGGCTTCAGCTATGTTAAAAAATTGGCAATATTGCCTATATATATTCTACGACTAAAATGTTTCGTTTATTTATTTATTTTTTGATTATGGACACGTTTTCGAAAATAATGTGTCCATATTGGGAGCAGATCTCTATATGATTATCACCATTGGTAAACTTTATAATAAAAATATTAAATAAACATTAAATATTTATTCAATTTTCTTATTTTCTCATTTTAGGGTATTTTGGCAACACCCGATTACAGTGTTTGCGGTGAATTGCAAACTTTGAATATGAAATTACGTAACGAATTGGATTTGTACGCTAACGTTGTACATGTACGCAGTTTACCCGGTGTTAAGACCCGCCATCAAGACATTGACACCGTCATCATTCGTGAACAAACCGAGGGTGAATATTCTGCCTTGGAACATGAATCGGTGCCCGGTATCGTTGAATGTCTGAAGATTATCACTGCCAAGAAATCAATGCGTATCGCTAAGTTTGCATTTGATTATGCTACCAAGAATGGTCGCAAGAAGGTCACCGCCGTACACAAGGCTAACATTATGAAATTGGGTGATGGTCTGTTCTTGAGATCCTGTGAACAAATGGCCAAATTGTATCCACGTATTCAATTCGAAAAGATGATTGTAGACAATACTACCATGCAAATGGTATCCCATCCTCATCAGGTAAGGAATTTGTGAAATGTTGGTTACGAACGATGGGGTAATGGGAATAAAAATTTTGGGACATTCAACATTAAATTATTTGTAGTACGATTTAAAATAAAATTCTAAACAATATTTCTTTTCATATTACACACTTCCTTTTTTTTTAAACAAAATTGGAAGTGTGAATTCCCAAATAAACAATTTCGGCATCGTACTAAAATTAAATAATAATAGCACCTCTATTAATAAATGTTGGGAATTGGGAAATATGAATTCAAATTCATTCTTTTTGGAAAAGGGAATTCACATCTACCAATTTCTAAAATGTTTATAATAGTGGATAAATAAAATCAGATATAAAATGCATTATTGATTTTATTTATTTAATTTTTTTGCAAATAGTTCGATGTCATGGTTACACCAAATCTTTATGGTAACATTGTCGATAACTTGGCTTCCGGTTTGGTTGGTGGTGCTGGTGTTGTTGCCGGTGCTTCTTATTCTGCCGAAGCTGTTGTATTTGAACCTGTAAGTATTTATAGCACCCATTGCCTCTTGTATGTACTCAAATTATATTTTTCATGTTGTTGTAGGGTGCACGTCACACCTTCGCCGAAGCTGTAGGCAAAAATGTTGCCAATCCCACTGCTATGTTCTTGTGCGGTACCAAAATGTTGCGTCACATCAACTTGCCAACCTACAGTGAAATGATCAACAATGCCCTTCACCGTGTACTTAAGGATGGCAAGGTCAGAACCAAGGATTTGGGTGGTCAATCTACAACTCAAGATTTTACACGTGCCGTCATTGCCAACATCCATTAAAGATTGTCTTCAAGGTGCCGACAAAAACCACAACCAACAACAACAACAGTAAACAAGAACTACAAATTCTACAGTTGCTTTCCTTTTTAAACCAAATATTAAGTTAAAGCTGTTGGGCCAGGAAGTCAAGAGTCAACGGGGTGTTGCTTTCGAACTTTTTTTGTAAATGCATAACTACTAGCAGCCAGCCACCTTCCCTTTGCCGACAACATAACTGTTATTGTTTTCTATTTTTTAATATGATGTATTTTTCAAACTTTGAGTATTAATTTGGCGAATATTTTTATTTAAATCCTTTATCTCTTTATTTTTTAGTATGTTTTTTAGTCAATTGTGTCCTTGTCCTATGCCCCACACCCAAACCCATCGATTCAAATGTATTGTATTAAACAAAAAACACACACACAAATTGTTCTATTGTATTATAAAAAATCCTGCCATTGTCCTGTAACCCGAGTTTTTCTTTTAGTTTTTATTTATTTTTTTGATTTAAAATCTTTTTTTATTATTTCGAAAGAAAATAGTAGAGGCAAAGTTTCAATATATAATGGCAGACGAAAGGTGTTCACACGGTATTGTCACAACAAAACGCCTCAACAGTTACCAAAAACATTGTCTCAAATTGCATGCAAAACTCACTCTACAATATTTATAAGATCCTTAGAAAGATATAAACTGTTTAAAGAAACAAACAATGTTATAAACAAAAAAATATATACAGAAATTATTGAAGGTAACAAAGTGATGATGGTGGTTTTGATTTATTTGGAATTGATTTCTTTGGGGACACGAACATTAGATAAATTTCTAATGAAATGATATTCATACAAATGAGTTATAATGTATCTGAAATAAGATGTGATGTTAATCGTAGCGATAACGATTTGTCATAAACAAGGTCATCCATTTTAATTTATTTAAAAATACATTTCCTTCATTTATCAAAAATTGTTTCTATCCGATGAACATCACATCTGATTTCTGGAACTTAACACCCATACACTTTTCGTGGATGTAATTAAAGAGGATTTAAGATATTTTCTTTGGTTCGGCTAATTCTTTTAGACGTGGTGTAGCTTTTGCTTGCAATGCTTTGCGTGATACCCGATATGCATCTGAACGATTATTTGAATCGGAATATTCTTTTGGATTTGCCAATTCCTGGACACGTTTAGATGCCACCGCTTTTAAGGCTTTTATATTTGTTTTGAAGGGACTCTCGGCGGGTGTTTCTACTTTGAGTCTTGTTTTTGCAGGTTCAGCGAGGGCTTTTATACGACGGGATGCTGAGAAAAAGAAATTCATGGGAATGCAGTTAATCGTGTACTTGAGTTCATATTAGAAATATTTTAAAAAATTTGTACAGTTACTGTTATATGAATAAGGCCGTGAATATTAACAGGTAGTATTCCCACCTTACCTTTATAAATTAAAGCATTCTGTGGAATATGAAAGGGATCTTCTTTTTCATTGCTTTCGTACTTTTTAGGTCGTGACATTTTCAATAAACGTTCAGAGGGCTTAAAGTTTTTCAAGTCTTTTGTAAACATCCATTCGTAGGGTTTGATTTCTTTTCGCATTCTGGGTTTACTTAATCGTCTAATACGTTTCATTTTAGGACCATCACTTCGTTGTCGATTTCTTGACCGATCATCCACTTCAGTTTCAATGGGTTTCTTTGGCATTGCCAATGCTTTCATTCGTTGCATAAGTTTTGATTTATTTTCCGTTGTCCATGATTTTGGCGGAGTTCTGCGGAGGGAAAAATGCGATAGCGAGAGGTAGAATGTGATGACAATGTGTGTGGAAGTAAGTTCGACTAGAATTATAGTTGATGAAAAAATAGAAGTACTTTTGGATTACGATATTTTTCCGTCCTATTTTTGAACGTTTCAACAGCAATGGGTGCATTATCGGAACGTAACAACAAACAAAATTATTTTGGAAAGAAAGTGACATCGAAAGACTCTTCAATAAGGTAGTGTTTAAGGAGACACTTATGGTTGCATTGATGAACGATAACTAAGAAGGAGGGATAGAGGCTCAGATGGCATAACGACCTGTTGTCCGGATTATTCCAATTGTAAAACTGATAAATTCGATATTACTGCCTGATTTATGTTCATCTGCCGCTAGCCAAGAGTTTAAAGTCCGAGTAGCGCAAATTTTTGTATCACTATCTTCTTCCCGGATTATCCACCTCAAAGTCAACCTCACTCACTTTTCACTTAATGGGCGTGATAAGTTGATTTAGAACAAATTTAGACATTTCTGCCAATGTTATGCGTCTGCCCGCCATCGCACTCCATTTTAATCTTCCATCGTAACCCTCGGCGATCTGAAAAAAATACTTACTCAGGTTCTTCTGGTACTATGTTTTGTAGTCGACTATAGACGGAGAGGTAACTTTTTCTCATTAAACGATTTATGCCACTTTTTCGCAGATCATTGAAAATGTCGAAGGATGGATGGCTTTTCAGTTGATAAAGTTGTCTAGAATAGATAAACAAGACCATAAATTAGCTATGTAATACTAAAGATCGTTGGTGACATGCTGTGTTATCAATATCGGCATATTATATTCCTACATCGTTCGCAAAATTCCGATCCTATTTTTCGTAAATACTCACCTCAATTGTGGATATGCCAAATGTTCGGTGCGTGTACTTTCGATTTTATCACATCTATTTACAATTTCAATTTTACATGTCGTGACCGCGGGACATTTGATTTTCTGACGATATTTCAATTTCTTGTGTTTCGGTTGAGCTAATTTCCAAATTTTCCTACGTTTTGTTATCACGCGATTATAGCGATCACAAATGCGACAATAATTTTGTATAATTTCACTCCACATATAATTGTATTGCGGTGGAATGGAATTATTTTCCAATGGACATTCTTTGTCAAAATAACGCATTCTCCAAAAAATTGCAATTGAAATTTAAATAAAAAAACAGACAAATAAATAAATGAAAATAGATTGTGTAAATAAAGAGGAAATGAAATTGACATGAAACTAGCTACGAGGGCAGGTAAGTAAAAACCCGTATTTTCGAATAAAAGGTATATTTTACAAAAATAATAACAAGTGAGAGGATCAGTATAGTGGGACGGATTGACCATATGATACCCTATACTATATATCTGATCCTTGAGAGGATCTATATGGCGTGTTTGACTCTCTCGGGTGTTCCGGGTCTATGGAACGAGGTAAAGGTTACTTACATTCCCAAAGCGGGTAAACCAAGTCACTCGGCACCAAATGACTATAGACCCATTAGCCTATCATCCTTTCTCCTCAAGACTCTCGAAAGACTGACCGACCTGGAGATTAGGAGGTCCGTCAGTCTTTTATATATGCGTGCTGTGATTTGCACGCATATATAAAAGGCAAGTCTGTGGAATCTGCTCTGCATGAGGTGGTAAGTTATATTGAGAGGAATATGGAAAACTTGAACCTTACGTTGGCCGCCTTTCTAGATATAGAAGGAGCTTTCAACAACGTTAAATTTGAGTCCGTAAACCTCTCACTACAAAAAGTTAACATTTATGAAACCCTTACTTGTTGGATAGATAAAATGCTAAAATGATAAATTCAAATGTTGGGGATACGAAAATCAGGAAAACAGTAACAAGAGGTGCTCCTCAGGGCTGGGTGCTCTCACCGTTTCTATGGCTATTGGTAATTAACAACATACTCATGGAACTGGACGGGAAATGTATCAAAGTCATAGCCTATGCGGACGAAGTGGTGATATTGATTTCCGGAAAAATTCCGTCAACAATCTCGGAGCTTATGCAAAGAGCCTTATCGACGCTGTGTCGCTATGCCAAGGCTAACTGTCTTGGAGTAAATCCAATAAAAAGACAGAACTGGTAATGTTCACTAGGAAACGTAAGCTCGGCGTCTTGGCTCCACCAACACTGGATGGAGTGCAGCTTCATTTGTTGCCTGAAGCAAAATACCTTCCTGGACGGTCAATTACAATCGATTAGAAACGCCGAGGAACGGGCGAAGAGAGGCCAGATTACACTCTATGCATGCAAGAACTCCATTGGGAAAAGTTGGTGGTTAAAACCATAGACTATACACTGGTAGTATAAGACAGTGGTGTAAGGTCCATCCTTTCCTCTGGTTCTCTAGTTTGGTGGTACTGCTTGCGCCACAAGTCGACATCCATCAAAACTAGACAATGTACAAAGAGCCGCCTCTATTCTAATAACTGGAGGCGCGAGAAGCACTCCACAAGCAGCTGAATTTAAGGCCTCTGTGTCTCAGCATTAAGTGTTAGGCAGCGAGTAGTGCTGCATAAACAAAATCTATGGCGAAATTGTACCATGGATGCATCCTGAACGAACTAGGTATGACACTGGACCAACACGTAAAACTAAACGACTATATATCACCAGTCCTGAGATTTGACGATATAGATGTCGTTATCCCTAGTAGATACGACCGGAACCGTAACAACTCTCCTCTAGACGGTCTGGCTTTCTATACATACGGATCCAAGATGGAAGACGGTTCAGGGGCTTTCGTCAACTGGATAGCAACTGTAGTGTTTTCCAAGCTGAAATCTTCGCTACTCCAAGAATCTACAACTTTTTACTACGAAAAAAAAATTTTCTTTATGATATCGAAGAAAATAGTAAACATTAGTAGATTTTTGCAGTACGGGAACAGACCAATTATAAGAATTTAGATGTGATGAGTAATCGTTTACCAATAAAAAAAACTGTCGATAATGACATTTTAGAAAAAAATATTTTTTTTAGAATCAGAAATAAAATTTAAAATTATTCATAAAAATTTTAGTGTATAGACAAATTTGTTGTGTGTAGAATAAAAATTATTTGTGTAGGAAGAAAAAAATATTTAAAAAAATGTGGCTAAAAGAGAGCAGTCCCGCATGCTGTGAAGTCCATGAGAAATTACCAAAAGATATTAAATGTTTTCAAAGCGAGCTCTGCAAAGAATTAGACTATCTGAAATGTTTACATAGAAACACATTTATAAATAGTCCACGTATAATGTCTTTGGCCAGGCCGAAAAGTTTCAAACGGACACCAAGATTTGTACCAATTTGTGCATGTAAATTGAAGAAACCTGTCGAATTGGTACATTTGGATCAGCGAGGTAATACACGAACGGAACAGTTGGCATATCCTAAAGCCAGGTGGGTTCAAAAATTTGCAAACTTCCTATTAATTGTAATAATATTTTAAATTTTATTTCAGAAAACTACTGGTATTTAAAGAGGAGATAAAGAAACGCTTCCCTCCGGATCGTATAATGAATTTAAATCGTATGATACGCAAAAGTCTCTTGTCGCTCTATAGTCGTTTGGCAAATGTCCAACCACCGGAAGAGAAGTATTTACTATCATTAGATTTTTATTTGGTTTTGTAATTAATTGTGTAATTTTTAGACAACCAATTAATAAATGGGATCGTGCAGAATGGGCCAAACATATGAAAAGATTGAGAAAACTTGCCAGACCCAAGGTGCCGAAATCTTCACCCAGAATTGTAAGTAGTTATCCAAGATTGTTTGCGGTCATTCTTATTACTAAACACCATCTACAGATCTTCAATATTTCCTATAAGTCTTTTTATAGAATAAATAGGGGAGGCTTTGTTAATATTACTATACATAGAATACTCGTTTTATATCTTCTACGGAAAACATAGCATTAATTTATATAGAAGGTCTTGTATAGAAGAATTCCGTATAGGAATACTATTGTCTGAAGATCCTTTAAAGGTAGTGTGTAAATTGATTAAATATCTAGAACCTCAACAGTTTACAAATACCTTTTCTTTTGTAACTAAGAATGAAATGTAATTGAAGATTTAAAAGAGAAGAAAAATAAGTGAAAAAGAGTTAAGTTCGGCCGGGCCGAACTTTGGATATACTGACAGGTACTTTAAATAAAAATATGATTCTTTGGACCAAATTTGTTTCAAAAAATTTTGATTTCATCCAAACTTTGCCCATCTTATTATTTCTTCCAAAATAAGTTCAAGTTCGAACATGAGGAATATCGGTCCACTCCTTCTGGTACCTCCAACACAGGGGCAAGGCCTAAATGCGGTATAAGGTTAATTATCGAACCTTACGTTCTAGTTTTTTTATCTCGATATCCTACGCAGGTGAAATGATTGCAACAAAGTCTTAGAACCAAACCCAAAACGCGGAATAAATCAGATAACTATTTTAATATAAAAAAGAGGCTTATATGGGGACTACCCCAAAAAGGGGGCGAATATAAACAATTTTTGGTAGGGAGATTTGTTACCATATACGACTACAAAATACCAAATTCCAACGCATTCGGTAGAAAAACGCGCTCAAGAACCCCAAAATACCGAAAATCGGGGGTACCCTTATATGGGGGCTACCCGAAAAAATGGACATATATTCATAACTTTTTGTGGAGAGATTTGGTACCTATTAAGATCCTAAAATACTAAATTAGAGCCAATTCTGTGGACAAATACGATCAAACCCCCAAAAATTAGGAGGTACCGTTATAGGGGGGCTACCAGAAAAAGTGGACCTATATTCATATTTTTTTGTGGAGACATTTAGTACCCAATAGGAACCCAATTTACCAAATTTCAGCGTACAAGAACCGCAAAATACCGAAAATTGGGGGGTACCCTTATATGGGAGCTATGCCTAAACGTGGACCGATATATCCGATCTTCGAACTTGGCCTGCCTGCAGACAAAAGACAAAACTATGCAAAATTTCAGCACCCTATCTCAATTACTTCAGAACATAGCGTGATTACAACAGACGGACCGACGGACATGGCTAGATCGTCTAAGAATTTTACCCTGATCAAGAATATATATACTTTATAGGTCGGAAATGAATATTTCGATGAGTTACAAACGGAATGACAAAATTAATATACCCTCCAAACTATGGTGGAGGGTATACTAATTTGCAAAATTTGGTTGTTGTTATTTATGGTGATTAAAGAAAAGTCCTTATTTTTGATGGCGGACATGATAACTCCTCACTGGAACATCGGAATCCGGAAATTCCAAGGGTGTTGAAAAGAGTACATGTCTGGTTCTCGTATGAACTAGAACTAGGATTATTGACTTCGCTCAAAAATTAAAAAAAATGGCAGACCTTTGAACATTCTTTTTTGGAAATTCGCCTGTTTTTGACCAGGACTTCATTATGATTTGCAACAATCGCTTGGTAGAATTTTCGCTATACGCTATATTTTCCAAAACTTTTTACACGTACCACTTTCCTTATCTAGACAAAGCTGCATACAAAATTTTACTTGTAACCCTTCCTGAGTAATACATTTTTACCATAAAATGTCCGACATACATACTTATTTGAATGGCCATCTTAAGGTAGAAGAAAATGAAAAATTCGGCCTTGCCGTTTTTATTTGTTTTAAATTGTTGTAACCCTAAATGTACCACTAAAAATTGTAATTCGAAACATTATTCTCAAAATTGCAGCCAAACAAGCGAATGCCATTGAAGCGAATGAGGCGATATAAATTCCTATCGAAACCGTTGAAACGTAAAGTTGAGGACAAACCTGATTGGACATTGACATCTGAAATGAGAAAATTTCAGCCCTCAGATCGTCTCAAGGATTTGGCAAAACCCATGATACGTGATACGTCAATGTTGTATCAGGAGTTGCCCATAAAAATACCACAAACGGCATTGAAATATAAAGGTTGGTGGAAATTATCTACTAATTGTTTAATACTTGCTAAATAAATAATATAATTTCTGTGTTTTTGTACAGCATCGAAACGAACACAAGATTTATCTCAGCCGAATGCGATTAGGACAACTCAGATGACATCACCGGAATTACGTGAAAATCCCTTTGCCATATCACCGAATGCTCTGAAAGCGAAAGCATCGAAACGTACCATCGAATTGGCCGAACCCAAGGAATATGAAAATAAACACATTCGTGATAATCCCTTTGCCATATCTCCGGCAGCTCTAAAGGCCAAACCTAAGCCACGTACAATAGAATTAGCCAAACCGAAAAAGTAATTTGAAATGGTGTTTTGCAACTTCCTTTCGTTTTTGTGAATTTTAAATTGTCGCAGATTCATTTATAATTTATCTAAATTTAGAGTACCTTTATTAAGTAGAAAATTTGTATACATCGAAACAAATGAAAAAATTTATAATTTTGAGGCTCCCCTTAACTGGTGCCAATATTAATAATCTGTGTAAAGATATTTCGTACCCAAAGTTTATCTAAAGTATTTCAAAGGACAAACAATTTGGTTTTCCGAATTTCCAAAAATACCGTTATTTAGGAGGTACTGTGGCGGGACCAATATTCATAATTTTTTGAATATTGAAAATATCAAAATATCAGTACCAGCCGTCCTAGGAATATTAACATTGTACAAAATATCGAAGCTCTATTATAAATATTGGTTAAACTTTTGTAAAAAATCCACTCTTATTGATCTGATAATAGTCCTTGAAATAGTTTTGCTTACAAATTCAAGCATTTTGTTTTGTAAGTCCATGAAAACGTATTATTATAAAATTTGTTCTGAGGGTCACAGAATAGTGCAGACACAAAATGAAATTCTTGATTATGTCCCACGACAGTGAGGATATAATCTTGAGGATGGATTTTCTCCAATGGAGTAGGACCAAAATAATTTGTGCTGTGAAATACCGGATAAAATGCCAGGAAAATGTCAATGATATCTTTATTAAGGGATTTATGGATCCCCCACGAAGTCCGTACAATTCACCAATTACATTGGCTCGGGAGAAGAACAGTAAACAGTAAGTAGAATCTCGAGCCACGGATCCAATTTTGACCTACTAAGAGAGGCGAATTATATCAGTAGCCTCGACATAAAGGATGGGCATTGCAACATTTACTGTACACGGATAGGATTATACATTACAACACGCCCTCTGCACAGTCATCTGCGCGGAACCACACGGATTCGCATATTTCGATGACATCATTGTCAGCCTTAAACCGTGCATGAGCATTTGGAACATTTAAGAGAGGTATCACGTAGGCTATAAAGGGCGAACCTGTGCATAAATCCTGAAAAGTGAGACTTTTTAAAAAAAGAGACTAAGTCAGCATCCATTCGGACCCAGATAAGGTTGCGGTCAAATGGAAGTTATAAACCCCCAACTGCTTGAACAAAATTCGTCGATTTTAAGGGCAGTGTAGTACGACAAACGTTGGACACGTGTTGCCCATCTAAGTGAACTCAAACCATTGGTGACTTACCACCACCACCAAAGTCAATGCCGCTTTGGTTGAGAGTTGTGATTGACCAATCACCAAACTATGTGGAATTCGCCTAAACGGGACATTCTCCAATTAATGAGGGACCTAAAGGCACATATATATGCCTTTAGGCATCTGATGACGAGCAGGACACCCCGTCGGGACCTGTGAGAAATGGTAGCCCGATACCACCCGCCCCTTTGGTTTCGCAACATCCAAAGATGATTGGACGCTAGGCGAAGTATTACAGCACCCTGCAACAGATATGGGAAGGGGTTTCAAATCCGGCTGGACAAGGCAAAGGCCTTTGGTTAGGAAGCTGCGGAAGACATTGAAGGAAATTCGAGGCTGAAGAATGTGGTGGTCGTACCGAATGAGCCAGAGGGTGGGGTTCGTTTGCGCAAGAACGCTGTCTCCAGATGCGGTCAGGGAACTCCACCCGTACCTATAAAAGAGTAGTGGCTGATTGTGAGAAGAGGTTGCGAAAATGGGTTGACCGGAAGGGAATGTGACGGTTAAGGGCGAAGTGTGACGACCAACGACGTTACACTCAGTTATATCCACACAACGTATTTTTCTCCCGCTCTTAACAAATAAAAATTATTTTGCTAATCCATCACTCTACTTTGGCTCATCGCAAATAAAACAACAAAATACACGGTGTTAGGGTTATTCTCTTACGGTTATTCTTATGATCACAAGCAATGTTGTTGTGACATGTTGATCAAAACAAGTTCCCATTATCCCACGCTAGAACACGTGGTTGGCGTTTCTCACAGACATATCCAGATCAGGTAAGCTCCATATTGAACCCAGGTCCCTGAATTTTACATTCTCATTACATTCCTCGCCAAAAGTACTTCTCCAGGTTTCGACTTCGAAGTTCGGCTAATCTTACAATCAAATATCGGACAGATGGCGATCAACTTCGTACTGAATGAACATTTGATAAAACATAAAACACCCGTTTTTCGCTCTCGCTCATAAATATTTTTTTTCTTGCTTCCACGTCTATGACCCTTATATTTCTCGAAAAACAATTCTTTAAAAATCCATGCTTATATTCAAAACATATCAAATGTAATTCGAGAATTCCATTTGCAATTCATTAGACATCAGTTGTAATTAGAGAATTTCATTTGAAATTCGAAGAATACCTTTCGAAATTCATAGAATTCCATTTGAAATTCAAAAGATTGCATTTGAGATTCATTACGTTCCATTTGAAATGAATAAAATTCAAAGAATTCCATAAAATTTCATTTGAAGTTCATAAAATTTCATTTGAAATACATAACATTTCATTCGAAAAAACACACAAAAACAACTGAATTATTATGAATTACAAGTAAAATGTTATGAATTTCAAATTTAATTCTTTGAATTGTTCAAATCAAGGTGTATGCATCAGATACAACAACAAATATTTTACAAAAACAACATTGTTGTTATAGAAATTAAATTGTAATGCTGACAATAAGTTTTATATATAAACAAAAATAATTATTAATTTATTTTTGTCAAGAACTATTCTTTGAGAAATAATTAATGAATTTGTGTATCCTTGGGTTGTTGGCAGTTTTGGGTGAATGAAAAATAAAGTTTAAGACCTGGTCGCGATTAATTTTAAGTTTCCCACATGCAGCCCATGTTGGATGTTGTTTATATTGTGAATTACAATCTATTTTTTCTATGGAGTGGCTTCAAATTTTGCCTTATAGACAATTTTATGTCCTTCAATTTCAATCCCCGGCCAAAGACTAAATCATGGAAATTGTGTAAACCGTATAAAACCTTTCTATAGGCGTATTTAACCTCCGCCGAGGATTGTGACAAGCACCAAGGGGCCGATTCCAATATAGGCTAACATAATCTCCTCGATTTCATGAGTAGCTGGGATTTATGGACAGATTTCCACACATAACATAAAATATGTGAACCAATCGGCGAACGGTGTTATAACTGATTTAAGCATAGGTTTCCTTTCCGTCCGCCTCTATGAATGTATTTTCTTTAATTTTTATTATTAAAAAATACTACATTTAAAGACCATTTTTGAAATCGAAATTTAATATTGAAAATGTTTTTGACAATTTACTTTACAAACAATAAGCATGGTATAATAATAGAAGGTAACAGCAAGTGTTGTTGTACAACAAACGATACAACAACCACATGGAAATTTGTTTTTGTAAGTTATACTAGTGTCAACGTCATTTGACAGCAAAATGTAAACAAACAAATAAATTATATTTATTTTGAAAATAAAATATTTTCGAATCCTCAAAATATAATTTGAAAAACATGAATGAAAATCTTTCAAATTTATATTTCTATCGCTTCCACAATTTTCCTATAATTGAGCTATTGCCACTGATTTGTGTAACACATATGAAAATGCAGGGAATTGCGAGTTATTCAATGAAGAACGATTTGCTTCCTCAAACTTTTCCAACAGGCAGATTGAGTAAAATGAATACGGGCAATTACAAATGAAATTCTCGAATTGCAATTGGAATATTTTGAATAACATTTGAAAAATGCGTAGTCCTTGGCAACATATTATTTTAAAATCCACGCTTATGACCCTTATAGTTACCTTGAAAAAATATTGTTTTAAATTCAAACTTAATAGCCTAGACAGACGACAGCCTTAATTTGCATTAACAGCCTTAATTCAAATTAACTTGTACATTATCTTCATTTTTATGTGTTGTTAATGCACAAAATCAAACTGAATTTATACTGAATTAAGCAATTTCAGTATGGCAATGCTGTAAAAAATAAATTGAATGTTGTCAAATTTGTCTACGTTGTCTACGTTTACGAAAATAAAAATTAAATATAAAGGCAAAATTCAACATTTCTTCAAATTTGGAGCTGTTTTATCTTCATTATAGCTGTTAGTTTTGCTTCCTGCCATGTATCAATTTCAAAAAGATGTAATCCTAAAAAATTTTGTAAAGAAATGTCAATATTTTCTTCCTACACACATTCAAACAATAGTTTTGAAACAAAAAACTGGTTCATAAATGCAGAAACTCTCGTCTGTCAGGGGTAAATTTTAATTCAAATTAAGAACTTTTTAATGCAAATTAAGGCTGTCGTCTGTCTATGGTATAAGGCTCTAACATTCCTTACCTCTGGCAGTTCTTTGATGATAGCCTTGTTTCCAATAAATTCATAAATAAAAATACCAAATTTGTATGAATTTTTGTTTTTTATGTTATTTTTTTTTATTTTTCATTAAATAGCAGTATTCATAAAAAATACTGAAAGAGTATGCTCCATGTTCACATCATTTTTGTTTTGTTTGTTTGTTTTTTTTTTATTATACAATAGGTAAAGTACATTTGTTCGGTTTGTGTTTTGCTATATTTGTCAGTTATTTTACAACATTTGTTTTATTTATCCAGTTTTCTCTTTGGGGGATATTTTTCATTTCATTCATTTTTAGTGGCTTTCAAATATTTGTATTTAATGTTTTTTGTTTGTTATTTTTTATACACAATTTCTCTTTGCTCATTTAACCGCCGATTTTTATTTATTTTATAAAGCGAAATTCTTTACTTCAATAAATTGTTTTTTTTTAGAAATTCCATAATCATAATACACTTAGGTGTAATTATAAAAAAAATAATAACGTAGGAGAATAGAAAAGAATTTATTTTTTATATATTAAAATAAGGGCTAATTTCATAATTTTTGTTTAGATTTTTCTTTAAAAAATAAATAAATAAAAAAATAATTTACACATTCATAAATAGCACATGTTA